GTTTATCTCTTGACCCTTTCCTGGTTATGAAGGCCACACTTAATTCTAAAACTCTTAGGACTGTGGGGTTGTTTTTTAAAAATTTAATTTCATTTTATTGATTTTTAGAGCGGAAGGGAGCGGGGTAGAAAGAAACATCTATTTGTTGCCTCCCATGTGCCCCCCCCCTACAGGATCGAACCTGCAACCCAGGTATGTGTTGGGAATTGAACCTGTGACCCTTGCACAGGATGACACCTCAACCAACTGAGCCACACCAGGCAGGGCAGGACTGTGGTTTTTTGTTTTTTTTTTTATCATCCTCACCCGAGGACATTTTTCCATTTTTTGTTCAGATAGAGCGGGAGGGAGAGAGAGAGAAACATCGATGTGAAAGGGACACATCGAGTGGTCTCCACCCGCACAACCAACCAGGGCCGGGGACAAACTGCAACCGAGGCACGCGCCCTCAGCCGGAACCGAACCCGGGTCCCTCCGGACCGCAGGCCGATGCTCTAACCGCTGAGCCAAACCGGCCAGGGCGGGACTGTGGTTTTTAAATACAGCTTTTTCTGCCCTGGCCGGTTTGGCTCAGCGGTTAAAGCGTCGGCCTGCGGTCCCAAGAGATGCGGGTTCGGTTCCCACTAAGGGCATGTACCTCAGTTGCAGTTTGTCCCCAGCCCTGGTTGGTCGTGCAGGTGGCAGCCACTCGATGTGTCCCTTTCACATCGATGTTTCTCTCTCTCTCTCTCTCTCTCTCTCCCGCTCTCTCCCTCCCACTCTACCTGAACAAAAAATAGAAAAATGTCCTCGGGTGAGGATAAAATAAAAATAGAGCTTTTTCTCTCAAATTAAAATTTTTGCTGAACCCTAATCTGTAAAGCAGATGTAGAATTGGGTACTTCAATTTATTATGTAAAGTCTGGTTATAACAGTTCCTTGTTATAAAGAACAATAAACTTGTTTTACATTTTTTTTCCTTTATTGATTTTAGAGAAGAAGTGAGGGAAAGAGAGAAACATCGATGAGAGAGAACATTGATCAGCTGCCTCCTGCATACCCCCCACTGGGGATCAGGCCCACAACCCAGTCATGTGTCACCGGAAATCAAACCAGTGTCCTCCTCCTGCATGGGTCGACGCTCAACCCCTGAGCCACACTGGCCAGACAATAAAGTTGTTTGTTTATTTATTTATTTTGCATTTATCTTCAGATAGAGTGGGAGGGCAGATAGAGTGGGAGGGAGAGAAGAAGGAAGTGAGAGAGAAACATCGATGTGAGACACATCAACTGGTTGCTACCCATACGACCCCAACCGGGGACAAACTGCAAGTGAGGTAGATGCCCTTAGTGGGAATCGAACCTGGGACTCTCCAGTCCACAGGCCAACACTCTAACCACTGACCCAAACCAGCCAGGGCAATAAAGTTTTTTGTTCAGATAGAGTGGGAGGGGGAGAGAGAGAGAAACATCGACATGAAAAGGACACATCGAGTGGTTGCCACCCGCACGACCCATCCAGGGCCGGGGACAAACTGCAACCGAGGTATGTGCCCTTAGTGGGAACTGAACCCAGGACTCTCTGGACCACAGGCCCACGCTCTAAACGCTGAGCCAAACCGGCCAGGGCAATAAAGTTGTTTTAATACAAAATTTAGGTCCCTGAACGGGTGGCTCAGTTAGTTGGAGCATCATCCTGTACACCAAAAAGTTTGCAGGTTTGATTCTTGGTCAAGGCACATACCTAAAGTTGCAAGTTCATTCCCAGGTTAAGGTGTGTAGGGGACGCAGGTGATTCATGTTTCTCATATTGATGTTTCTGTCCCTCTCTGTAAAATCAATAAAAAAAATACCAGTTGAGAATTTTTTGAGAACACAAAATTTAGGACCTGGCTGGTTTGGCTCAGCTATTACGAGCTTCAGCCAGTGGACCAAAGAATCGTGGGTTTGATTCCTGTCAAGGGCATGTACTTCTGTTGCAGTTCAGTCCCTGGCCCTAGTTGGGGTCATGCACGAGGCAACCAATCAATATGTGTCTTTCACATCCATGTCTCTCCCCCCCCCCCATTCTGTCTGAAAATAAATGGAGAAATATCCTCAGGTGAGGATTAAAAAAAAAAAAAATTTAACATCCCGTTTAAGAGAATGACACAGGAAAAGTGACATTATAGTGGGACACATGAAACCTTTTCCTGTGAATAATAAGCCTGAGGCACAGAGGCACCTCAGCCATGCTTGCTTGGTCATTCGTTTGAGTGCAGTGTGCATGAACTCAGCCCATGGTGCAGGACTGCAGACTTCCTCTGGGCATGGAGATTTCTTTCCCTGCTGCCAGCATTTTGACAGCTTCCATAGTGGATCTTATGTATCTCCTTTGAGTGTGTGTTTTGAAGTTATTAAAGATCTGAATCAATCTGTTAACCCTCGTACCTTTAGGGTTTTCTGGAAGAGTCTGAAAGCCACTGTTACCTAATGGAAGGAGGTGGCCTGGGCCATTGCCTTCAGTAAGCAAGCAAGCAGGGTGCTCAGGGCCCGGAATTGTGTCAGGAAAGAATGCAGACTCTGTCCTCATGCTTTTACACGGAAGTAGGCCAGGAGTAGAGGGAGTAAATGATCCTTGATGTTTAAGCAGAAATGTGAAAAGAAAAAAATGAGAACATTATAAGCAGGCATAAGTGAAAGGAAACGGGTTTGCAGGAGGTGGGACTTAGGATGGGGGCAGGATTGAGGTGGGGAGGAAAGCCTGTGAGATGGGGACTTAGATCTGTGCCCCCAGCCTTCCAGTCAGAGCTGTGAGGGAAGGAAGCGAGGCTGGAAAGCAGGTGAAATTGGGGGCAGGGAGCCCCGTACCCCAGGTTATATACATTTAATTGCATAGAACAGGCCCAGGCAGAACTGAACGATAGTTACTAAGGAAGGGAATAATTACATCTTGGCTTCAGAAACTTGACTCTTGCTAACAGGTACCAAAACTAGTAAAAATTAGTCCTTCCTTGCTCTAAATCAGAACTGGCCCCAGGCAGTAGTTTCTCGGTAGCCTGGGGTTGCGACCTGAGGCCAGCGCTGTCCATGGTAACGGCTTTTGTGTAGCGTAACGCTTACTTCCATTTTCTCAAAATCACTTCGTGAGGGGCATTAACTCTGTTTGGTAGATGAGGGAGCTGAGGCCAGGAAGGCTTTGAGACACCAGGTCTGCTCTCCGCTCCGCTCTCCGCACTGTCCCGAGGCCCGTCAGGCCCGGAGAGCCGGGTCCGCAGGGGCTGGAGGAGCCGCGAGGACTCTCGACCCCACTGCGCGCTGGAAGCCCCGCCCCCCGGAAGGCTCAATGAACCGCCACTTCCGCGACGTCCAATGAGACTTAGCCGGGGGCGGACCGGTCGCGGCTGGGGGCCAATCTGATTGGTTAGGGGTGGAGCTATGGCGGGTGGGAGCCGAGCGGCCGTACCCCAATCTTCCGAGCCGGGAGAGAGCCCGGCGCGGGCGGCGCGCAAGGGGTCCTAGTGAGCGCGCGCCCGCCGTTCGCGCAGCCCTTCGGCCCGCTCCGCCCTCCGAATCGTGGCGCCCGTTCCTCTCCTACTCTCCCGTCGCCCCTCGGACCGGGACTCGGGAGCCGGGCTGGGGCAGGGCGGGAGCCGCGGGACCACCGCCTGAGGTGGGTACGGAGCGGGAGGCGGGGAGGCCCAGGGGGAGCTCCCGGTCCGCCCCGAGAGCGGACCCCACGTCGAGGCGGAAAGAGGCCGGCCGGGTTGCTGATCCCAGCTGCAAGCCTGCCTAGATTTTGGGCGCTCATGCCCGCGCCCTGATACCCCTCCCAGGCCACCACCTTCCCTGTTAGGGCACCCTGCCCCTCGCGCTGTCGGTGACCTCCTCACCCTTCTTGCCCTTTGTCGTCTGTGCACCTGCCCTCTAGGCCGTGTGCTACCATTTACTCTCTAGTCCGGACCTTACTCCACCTTACCTCCTTGGGACCCAGCACCAAATAGATTTGTTCATGCAGCCCCATCTGTCCTTCTTTGTCGTCTGTACACCTGTCACCTCAACTCTGTTCATCCACTCTACCACCCGGTCTTCCAAGATCTTCATCTAAATCCAGCCCAGATTGTCATCCCCCTCTCCCTCCCCTGGATTTCTCCGTCATTATCCCTACAACTGCCCTGATTATCCCCACAACTGCCCCACTCAGCCCCAGCCTCATGTCCTCCCCATCCAAACTCTTTTGTTGTCTCTGCAGCTGTTCCCTCAGCCCTATTCATCTTTCTCCTTGAATTATGCCAAACCCCAGCCCAGACTCCCCCCTCCTTCTGACCAGTGAGCCCCCAGCTCTGTTCTGGCATTCCTCCGGATCAGTGCCCAACCCAACACTCACTCAGCTGTGAAGGAAAAACTAGAAGACAATAAATAGGGGAACATGGGAACCTGCCATTAGAAAATATTCCATTAGGCAGACCTTACCCCCTGAACTTTAAGAGAACAGCAGGAACTGGGCAAAGGGGAAGGAGATATACATCAGCCAGAGTTAACCATTGTATTGTGCAGTTAACCACTGTATTGTGCAGTTAACCATTGTATTGTGCAAATAGAACTGTTTATCCCTCAGACTTAATGGCTAACCGTAGATATCATGCTTGCTTGCTTGCAGACCCTTAGCCCAATTTCTTAACAGGGGCTAAGAAAACTATATAAGCAACCCTCCCCCTGAGCTCGGGGCTGCTCTCTCCTCTGAGCAGGACGGGACAGTCGCTGCACAGCTAATAAAGCTTTCTTTGATTTGACCACATTTGGAGTCTGAGTTCGGATTCTTCTTGCAGGCTACAACAAGCCTAGCCATTTCCCTTCCTCTTTCAGCCCACTCCTCACACCTCTCAACCTTTCCCAGATGACCCAATTTTCTCTGGTCTCTCCCACACACCAGCCGATTTCTCTGTCCTCATAGAATCTCTTTTCCTTACTGTGTTCCTCTCCTGTACCACCTGGCCTCAGTGGTCTGAACCACCCCTCACTGTTTTCTCCCCGACAGGTGCCCTGGAGAAGCCATGGAGCTGAGCAGCAAGAAGAAGCTTCATGCCCTATCCCTGGCCGAGAAGATCCAGGTGCTGGAACTCCTGGATGAGTCCAAGATGTCCCAGTCAGAAGTGGCCCGGCGCTTCCAGGTCTCCCAGCCCCAGATCTCACGCATCTGCAAGAATAAGGAGAAGCTGCTGGCAGACTGGTGCAGCGGCACAGCCAACCGGGAGCGCAAGCGCAAACGGGAGTCCAAGTACAGTGGCATCGATGAGGCTCTGCTCTGCTGGTACCACATTGCCCGGGCCAAGGCCTGGGATGTGACAGGGCCCATGCTGCTCCACAAAGCCAAGGAGCTGGCTGACATCATGGGCCAGGATTTTGTGCCCAGTATTGGTTGGCTGGTCCGCTGGAAACGCCGAAACAATGTGGGCTTTGGGGCCCGCCATGTACTCACACCTCCGTTCCCCCCTGAGCCACCACCTCCAGGCCTCACACCCCAGACCCAGCTGCCTCTTTCCCTTAAAGACTTCTCCCCGGAAGATGTGTTTGGCTGTGCTGAAGTGCCCCTGCTGTATCGGGCAGTGCCTGGAAGAGTGGGTATAGGTGATCAAGTGCAGGTTCTGCTGTGTGCCAACAGCAGGGGCACAGAGAAGCGGCGTGTACTGGTCAGTGGGCTCCAGGCTGCACCAAGGTGCTTCTTTGGGGTTAGCAGTGAGGCTCTGCCTGCCTCCTACTACCCTGATCTGGGCATCCCCTGGTCAGAGTGGTTGGCACAGTTTGATCGGGACATGGGGAGGCAGGGCCGACAGGTAGCCTTGCTGCTAGCTGCCCAAGTGGTGGAGAAGTTGGCAGACCTGTCTGGGCTCTGCCATGTGAGGCTCCTGCCTCTTCCCACTGCTAGCACTGCACCTTCCCTGCCCAGCTCTGTGGTTCGGGCCTTTAAAGCCCATTACCGGCACCGTCTGTTGGGCAAGCTGGCAGCTGTCCAAAGTGAGAGGGCTGGCACGTCGCTGGCTGAGGCTGGGGCAGGCATCACAGTGCTGGACACTCTGCACATGGCGGCAGCGGCCTGGGCCAAGGTGCCTCCCCAGTTCATTGGAAGCAGCTTCATTCAGGAAGGGCTGGCTCCCTGCAAAATGCCCCTGTCCCTGGACAAAGCCTCTGAGATGCCACCAGTCCCCTGTGGACTGAGCCTCGAGGAGTTTTTCCGCTTTGTGGACCTGGAGGGTGAGGAGCCCATGTCTGGAGTGTGCAAAGAGGAGATGGGTACTGAAGACGAGGAGGGGGCTGGCGAGGACAGCTTCGAGCCACTGCCTACCAAAGCGGACGCTCTCCAGGCCCTGGGCACACTGAGGAAGTGGTTTGAGTGCAATGGCACCTCCCCTGAGCTATTTGAAAAATTCTATGCTTGTGAGGAGGAGGTTGAGCGGCTCTGCTGCCTGTGAAGGGCCCTGCTACTCTCCAGAGCCCCTTCCCGTCCTGTTTCCCATGGAAACGCCCTCTCACAGAGGCAGATTGGAGGCCGGTCTCTTTCCCATGGAAATGGAGCTTTTGTGAAAGGTGTAGAAGGAAGACAAGTTTGGAGGCCAAGTCTAAGCTCTGAATAAGTTATCCAAGCCCAGAGAAGAGGGATTCAAAGGGGGCATTAGGGGGTGGAGCTAGGCTAGGTAGTTTCTGAACCTAGGGAGGCTGGGACTTAGGAAGGTGGAATTTGGGCTTTACAGACAGGCCGATGCCTTGAATTCTGTGTTAAAAACAGTTATGCTTCTGAAATAAAGTTTTTAATGAGAAAAGAGGCCAGGGTGTAATTTTCGGGGGAGAAGGGTAGAAACTTTCAACTCTGAAAAATGTCTTAATCCTCGTCTGAGGATATGTTTATTGATTTTAGAGAGAGAAACATTGATGTGAGAGGAACACCAATCAGTTGCCTTCTGTACACGCCCTGACCGGGGGTCAAACTCGCAACCTAGGTATTGCCCTGACCAGGAATCAAACCCACAACTTTTGGTGTACAGGAAGATGCTCCAACCAACTGAGCCACCCAGACAGGGCTCAACTCAGAGTTTTAACTTGATTGCTGAGGGTTGCCGCCACACAGCTGTCTGGAGCTGTCTGCGGATGACCATAGGGATCTTCCAGAATTCCAGCAGGAAGTACCCCCTGGGCATGAGGACTCCGTGGGCTGCCAGAGAGATCCCAGGCATTGCCTCAGACATTCTGCTGCTTTGTTAACTTTGCTTTCAGATTGTGGGAGGAGAGGTGATGTCAGGAAGGAGGGAGGCAGGGTAGGGACTTCCTAGGGAAACAGAAAGGAGTCAGAGTCTGCAATAGTCATTGGTTCTTTCGTGTGTGTGTGTGTGTGTGTGTGTGTGTGTGTGTGTGTCGTTCTTTTGATCATTTCACATTTCTACAGCAAGGTCTGTGTGACGAGGTTGTGAAGATGATGTCCCTGCTGGGCAGACCTTGCAGAGAGTGACAGTGGAATATGATTATGTGCAAAGCGCTGTGGCCCTGTAGATCCAGGGAGACTCCTGGAGGTGAGTGTTGACCTACAGCTTGAAGGACAGACAGGAGTGGGAAGGGTATTCCAGGCCAAGCGGCAGCAGGTGCATTCCTACAGCCACGAGGAGGACCCGGCAGCAGGAGGGGCCGTTAGCCCACCAAGCTTGGTGGTAGGGCACCCCCAAGGGTTTCAGTCAGAGAAGGACGGGTCATTTGTGGAGTCCTAGAAAACTGAGCCATGGAGAGTGGCTCAGAAATGTGAGACGTAGAGGCAGAGAGACTGACTGGTCCAGATACAGGGAAGCCTGAGCCAGATTGTGGGAGCAGGATGGTGTTGTAGCCCGCGAGAAGAATCCGAACTCAGACTCCAAATGTGGTCAAATCAAAGAGAGCTTTAGTAGCTGCACAGCGACTGTCCCGTCCTGCTCAGAGGAGGGAGCAGCCCTGAGCCCAGGGGGAGGGTTGCTTGTATAGTTTTCTTAGCCCCTGTTAAGAAATTGGGCTAAGAGTCTACCAGCAAGCACGTACAGAAGCGGATATCTGCGGTTAGCCGTTATGCCTGAGGGATAAACAGTTCTATTTGCACAATACAATGGTTATCTGCACAATACAATGCTTAACTCTGGCTGATGTATATCTCCTTCCCCTTTGCCCAGTTCCTGCTATTCTCTTAAAGTTCAGGGGATAAGTTCTGCCTAATGGAAAATTTTCTAATGACAGGTTCCCATGTTCCCCTATTTATTATCTTCTAGTTTGCCCTTCACATTAGGAGCAGGATGGTTTTACCTGGGAAGGATGTGGGCTTTGGACTCAGACTCTGGCTGGTGAGAAGTCCAGCTCCAGGCCAAAATCCTACGTGTTCAGGCTGACCACAGGCAGTCACTAGCCAGTGTGTGGTTTTGTGGAGGGCGCTGCAGTCAGGACTCGGACCGCCCAGGGCAGCCCCGCTTATACCTGCATTCCTAGCCCTGGCGCCTCCTTACACGCCTGCAGCCCTAGTACTTCCTAGGGGCCTCTGCTGAGACGCTTCCTCCACTTTGACGCAGTACCTTTCCCTCCTAGTCCTTCGCTCTCTCCACTGTCCCTAAAGAGGCAGGAGCCTTTATTCCGGGGCTGCTGACAGTGAGACAGTTCCTGGTCTGCCTGGCATCTCATCTGACCCTCACCCGGAGCCGGAACACTGGGGAGGTGGTGGCTCTGCCTCTTGCCTGCACTGTCGCAGTAAGTGAATAAAAGCTGATTAATACTTTCAGTGTAACTCTTCCTAATTGACCACCTCAACACTGACAGCTGGACAATGATGACTTGTCACTTTTAAGCAGTTCTGAAGCCACCTGCTGGCCTTCCTTTTCTAGCCTGACATCCCAAATCATGTAGCTTTTCCTACCTGTATTCATTTAAATTGTCCTTCCTCTGAAATCATCCCAGTTCTGACATATCTTTTTAAATGTTGAAACCAACATTATACAATCTCTAAAGGCCCAACCAGAGCCACAGATGGGACGGATTAGCTCGGTTCTCGGGTGTCATATTCCTGTTAGAGCAGAATCATGTAACAGTGTTTTATTGCTGAATTCTTCCCAGAGCTTTTTGTTTGTTTGTTTAAGCCACAGGTACTCTCTCCCTTTCTTGTGTTGTTATCACACATCACACTTTGCCTATCTGTAGGCAACTTTGGTGGCTCATTCAAGAGTGTTTACTGAATGCCTTGCTGGTGGGGCAGGCCCTGTTCTAGGACCCTCAGCAGTGCTGAACAAGACAGAGAGGGATCCCTTACTTTTTGGTAGAAGGAGATAAAGATGTAGGTAAACAAATAGTGTACAGTCATGCCCTGGCCGCTTTGGCTCAGTGGTTAGAGTGTTGGCCTGTGGACCCATGAGTCACAAGTTCGATTCTAGCCAAGGGCACATACATCAGTTGCAGTGGGTCGTGCGGGAGGCAACCAGTCATTGTGTCCGTCTCACATCGATGTTTCTCTCCCTTTCTCTCTCTCCCTCCCCCTCCCACTCTATCTGATGGTAAATAGAAAAATATCCTTGGGTGAGGATTAAAAAAATAATAAGTGCAGTCATTTTAGATAGCCAGATGAAAACAAGACAATGGTGCCATAGAGCAGGGCTGGAGAAACTTTTTTCCACCAAGGGCCATTTGGATATTTATAACAGCATTCGTGGGCCACACAAAATTATCAATTTAAAAATTAGCCTGCCAAAAAAAGGGAAAAAGTTAGCCTGCTAGCCCTGGCTGGTTTGGCTCAGCAGTCAGAGCATCAGCCCTTCGACCAAAGAGTCACAGCTTCGATTTTGGTCAAGGTCACGTGCCTTGGTTGTCGTTCCGTCCCTGGCCCTAGTCAGGGTCGTGCAGAAGGCAACCAATCAGTGTGTCTCTCTCACATCAATGTTTCTCTCTCTCTCTCCCCGCCCCCACACTCTGAAGATAAAATGGAAAAATATCCTCAAATGAGAATTAAAAAAAAATTAGCCTGCTTTATTTGGTCAGGCTAATTTGGTGAGGCAAGTGATGTTAGCTGGTTGGTATTGATTCCGTGGGCCTTATACGGACATTGCGCACCCCTGCCATAGAGAGTGACTGTGAGAGGGGGGGTCAGGGAAATAACATTTGGGCTAAGTCGTGAAAGGTAAGAAGGAAACATTCTTCCAAGGGAAGAGGTCCTCTGCAAAGCGAACAGTAGGTACAAATATCCAAGGTCAGAAACAGCTTGACAGCCTTAAGAAACAAAGACGGCCCTGCGGCTGCAAGTGAGAGAGGACCAAGAAGAGGAAGAGGGTGGAGAGGAGGTCAGGGGCCTTTGAGCTGACAGCATCTAACATTCATTCTAAGTGACGGGTAATTTAGACAAAGGAGGAACATGATATGTTTTATGTTTTTAAACATTTAATTCTAGTTGCTGTTAGAACTAGAGCAGCAACTCTACTTCTGGAAGGTGGGGAGCAAAAGTGGAAGCCAGAAAACCAAGCTAGGAAGCTACTGAGTTGGTGGGACTTCCTCATGGAAGGGCATAAGGTATGAAGGGGTGAGAAGAATCAAATCTATTTCCAACAGATTAATTTTTTAAAATCAAGGTCAGTCAATCCTATTCAATTTTGCAGGTATTTCTACATGCAAAGGAAGGGATGGCAAAAAAGTATATATGTGTGTTATTTCAGTTTCTTTACAAGCCTGTGATGAACACCCTCTATGTTCAGAAGGCGTACAAGGCTGCAAGGCAGCAAAGGTGAATAGACACAGTCCCACCCTGGCCAGTTTGGCTCAGCGGTTGAGCGTCGGCCTGCGGACCAGAGAGGCCCGGGTTCGGTTCCCGCTAAGGGCACATACCAAAAAAAAAAAAAAATAGACACAGTCCCTGTTCGTAGGTGCTCGTGGACTAGAGGGATAGATAGCAAGTGACCAACAATACAGGTCAGTCATGAGGATTAAATAAATTGATATTTATGAAGTGTTTTCCACGTGCCAGGTACCATTTTAAACATACATATGTTAGAGAGCATCGTCATCATCAGTCCTGAGAAGAAAGCAGATTGGATGCAAAGAACTGAAGGCAGAAGCATGGGTTGCCCGTCCTATATCTCTGCACTACACTCTGATTTCTTTCCATCAACCTCCCAGTTCTCTTCAGCTGTGACAGTTCTTCAGGTGTTTTTTTCCAAATATACATAATAATTTTATACTGTCTTGTTTCTTCTAGTTCTTTTATGTATTTAATATTTTATGCATGGTTATTTTACATTCTGTATCTGGTAAATCTAATATCTGAAATGTTTGGGGGGCTTTTGTGTTGTTGGTTTTTTACTGGTGCTTTAATTCATGGTGGCTTTTTTTCCTGTGCGTCTGGTAATTTTTATAGTGGAAATTTTTTTTCTTGGTTGCATTTCATCTGGGAAAAACCTGAAGATCCTGACTTAGGGGGCTCTCCTAGAAAAAATTGTAGTTACTCCTACCAGGCACAAGGGGGCGCAGACACCATGCTACAATACTTTCTGGGAGGAAGGTATCCCAGACCTGGAGGGCAGTATGGTGAACAGGCATATGGTTGGTTCCTGGTTCACTGGGGAGGCGACCTTATTCTTAATTTTTTTTCCACCACAGGGAGAGAGGCAGTTTCTTTGTAGGTTCACTTTACTGGTGGTGGTGATTTTCTAGTCTATGCTTTTACTAAAGGTGTAGCCACTTCCGGGATCTTGTCTTAATTTATGAGACTTGGGTTCAGCTGGGACTCAAGGGCCTGCGACCCTTTCTGTGCACCAAAGGGTCATGGGTTTGATTCCCGGTCAAGGGCACATACTTGGGTTGCAGGTTTGATCCCCTGTCTCCACTGGGGTGCATTCAGGAGGCAGCCAATCGATGTATCTGGGGAAAATATCCGGTGAAGATTAACATAAAAACAACAAAAGAGTGACTGCTCATAATGAAAGTAAACTAAACTCAGCTGTTCAGTGAGTCTGACTGACAATAGTGATTCACACCAGAATCACCCCAGATTGTCATTTCCTGCTTTGCCTGCACATAAGTTAGTCTCTATGTGCCACTATGCACATAAGTTAGTCTCCTGTAATTGCTCCTACTGGGACCACTGCTATAAAAATAAGTACATATGATGTTTGACACCACGAGTCCGATGAGACACAATTTAACATGTTTGCCCAAGTTATAAGCCCTTTACATGTGACCCTCAGACACCACCCCCGTTTTCAACCTCAAAGCAATTCATTGACTTATTTCGTAATTCTTAGGGGTTCCTTCTATCTAAATGAGCCTCAAGAATAATGACGATCTCTAATAACATGTTAATTCCCGAAGGAATTTAACATGCATATTATAAGACCTTGCTGATGTAAAATCTAGCTTTTAAAAATATCTTCAGCCATTTCCTGCCTGATTTTGTTTGCTTTTCCACCCTCCTCTCCAATAGTGTTTTGTCCCTGTCCCCTTCCCCGTCCCCTCCGGGGCTCCGAAAGAGAGCTGTTTTCGCACGGCTCAGCCTGTCCTTAACCCTACGCTCACTGCAGCACGTCCTGCAGCCCGGCTTGCAGCTCTGGCCAGGCTAGTGGAAGGCACTGCATGGCCTGCCACTCTCTCTGCTAATGAGGAGCTCAGAGCAGGGGAGCTGCGGCCCCCTCAAGATGCCTCTGGAGAGAACCAGAGAGGGAAAATGGAAGCGCGTGCCCAGACAGTGCAAAGGCAGGCAGGCTTCAGAGGACCACCTGACCTGACCCTTCTTTACAAATTTTTTTTATTGTTTTTTTTTAGAGACAGAGGAAAGGAGAGAGAGAGAATAAAAACATCGATTTGTTCCACTTACTTATGCACTCATTGGTTGATTCTTGTTTGTGTCCTGACCAGGGATTGAACCCGCAACCTTGGCATATCGAGATGATGCTCTAACCAACTGAGCTACCCAGCCAGGGCCTCCTGTCCCTTCTTGCTCGGGTTATAAGAGCCGGCTCTTCTCACATGCACAATCCTGGCTCCCTTCCAGCCACAGACTGCCCTGAGGTATTCCAGTGGCTATCGTGTCCGGCCCCAAATCTCTGGCACTGCGGCGGTGCTGGACGGCCACTGGGGCCCACAGGCTCACCAGTCAGAAAGGACCTCGGAGGAAACTGAGGCACAGAAAGGATAGTGACCGCTCAGGCAGACCCTGCTTTTCCATCCCAGGAACAGGCTTCCTGAGCCTGTGTGGGAGTGGAGGCCACTAGCATGAGGAGTTCAAGTCACTTCCACCAGACTCACAACTTCCTTACTCGGAAGGGCGGCCCGCTTCTGCGCTTAGGAGCAGCCGGAGCACTGTTGGTGCGTAAAAGCCATGACAGAGCTTCGCCCAACACAGATTCCCGGGCCCCCGCCTCAGAGATTCTGACTCAGTCAGGCCTGGGTGGGGCTGGGATTCCTTTTTAACCAGCTCCAGGAGGCCAGATGCGCTGCTCCACGGACCACACTGGGACCGCCTGACCACAGAAGTCGCAGACCCCACCTGCTGTGTGAGTTAGTGCACAGGCCGAACTTGCGGCAGAGACGTCAGAATGCAGCAGTCCCCCTGGTTCCGGGCCAGTGGGGCGCCTCCTGCACCCTCAGCAGTCCTTCCAGGGTCACCATTCAGCCAACAGTGAGGAACTGCCTTGTAAGCAAGCGAGGGGCAATGTGCACGCATCACACCTTCCTCTAGCAAGAAGCCAGGCACAGGGCCCCACTGCAAGAGAGGGTGGGACACAGCTTGGCTCAGCGGCCAGGTGCTCTGTCGCCATGATATGACGATGGAAGAAGGTTGAACAAGTCGGGGTGCAGTCTGCGGCTCACAATCCAGCGAAGGACAGCTCTGATGAGCACATGTCGGGCTTATGCTGGTAGATCTACCCAGGTGAATTTGACCTTACGTGACTTGTGGGAAACTGTCATAGTCCCCAGGGACAGCAGGGTAGCAGAGTGACTGAGCTCTGGAGTTGGGGGCTCAGATGCATCCAGGTAAGTTGTGTGACATACCAGCTGTGTGACGTGGGATGCACTATGCTGTCTGCACCGAGGCCACCTCAGGCAACAGTGATTAGACCGCTGGGATGGTCTTAAAGGGAGCGCACAGGAAATGGCAGGGATTCTAGACATTCAGGTCACCACCAGGTGGGCCCAAGTTGATCTCAGACTAGATCAGGAGATTAGTGGGAACAAACTCTGCTCAGCTTTATTGCCAATTAAATGAACCCTCAGCCAATTTTTAACGCCCACTTTGCAACTGGGAAAAGAAAAGAAAACCTGTGCCATGGATGGGAGCAGGCCAGGCGGATACCCCCGACTTCTGGCACCACTCCACTGGGGCTGACCCAGGCGCGGGCAAACCTCTCAGAGGCTGGTGGGGGAGGGGCAGGATCAAGGAAGCAAGTGGGGTGGTTGGAGTCAAGAGAGAGGCTGGGAATGCAATGCCCCTTCATTCAACAGGCATTTACCCGGCTGCTTTGAGCATCAGGCTCTGAGTTGGAAAATGATCAGATGTGTGACCACTGACCTCCAGGAGCTTCCAGTTTAATGCGGAAGCTGAGAAGTCAACCAGTCACCATGACAAAGGTAAGGGCTGTGATCAAGATGAGTGGGGGGGGGGTCTGCAGACCCCAAAGTCAGCCTGGGGCAGTGGAGAGGGGAGCCGAGGAAGGACCCCAGAGAGAGTGCTCAGCCTGAGCCTGGGAGTGGGCCCAGCCAGAGAGAGTGATGGAGTCACCCCTTGCCAATGCCCACTGTTGGCCAGGAGGGACTAAGCCTTCCAGGCTGGGGGTAATGAGGAGGCACACTTGGTTCTCCACGAGTAGGGCTAGGCTGCTGAAGCTGCCAAGGGAGAGGAAAGCTGGTGGGCAGGGAGGTGCCCCAGCAGGAGGGGGTAGAGTTTGAGTGATGGGAGTTGAAGGTGATGGGAGTCACTGAAGGATTCTGAATGGCCAGGAGATGTAAAAACTATTCTTGAGTCAGTGGCGAGGAGAGGTCTGAAAGGAGGGGAGGTGGGGGTGGGAGAAGACGCTGCCCTGGACTCCAGGGGATATTCAGCACCCAGGAAGCAGAGCTGAGGCCAAGAGTTCTTGAAGGAGCAGTCACAGCACGGGGCCGGAATGGCACCAGCACTGGTAAGTTGATTTACAAAGGAATCAGGGCAAGTGCTATAGGAGGCTGAGGCCAGCCATGGATTCTGGGCAGAGCCTTGGACTGGGGAGCGGGGTGCCTGCTCCCCACTGCTGTCTCCCCATCCTCATCTACATCTTCCAGGCTGGGAGGTGCCTTGACAAGGAAGGTTGAGCCTTTTGCATTGAAATCTCAACCTGGTGCTTTCAACTGGACCTCCAATCTGGGCAGGTAGGCGGTGGTCAGTCCCATTTGGGGAGCTGCTGGCAGTGCCTGGCCAGGCTCATCCCCACGAGTGGAGGAGGTACTCGTAGCTAAGGAAGGTGACGGCGTTGACAGGAAAGGCGCGGGCACTGTTGATTGTCAGCCCCCGGAAGAAGACCCCCAGTCCTTCCTGCCGGGCGCTGCTTACCATGCAGTCCAGCAGCCCCTGGTACTCCCTCTGCTTCAGCCCGGCCATCTGCATCCGAGACTTGATCACGTCTAAAGGGGTTGCTGCCACCCAGGAGGTGATGCCTGCAAAGCCCCCTGCCACCAGCACTGTGGTTGAGCCTGGGGCAGAGGGAGCCCGGGACAGGGTCAGACTGAGGAACATCCTCCCCCTGCCCTTGTCTCCCCCATCCTCCATGAAGGACCAACTCCCCACCCCACCCTCTCTTCCCCCCACCCTCTCACACCACTTCACTTACTGGGGTTCTGGCCATCTGGTGTGGGTTGGCGACAGAGCCATTCATAGGTGACAAAGTAGATTCCCAGTGTGGGGGTGTCCCTCAGTGTCAGAGCCCAGGCTCCCCGAAACAGCCCTCGGGGCCCCTCCTCTTGGAAGATGGAGGCCGCACAGTGCACAGGCCCCCGGTACCGGGGTGGGGTGCTTTTCCGCTGTGCCCTTGACTCTGTCTGGTTCTGTAGTCGAACTTTGATGAGGTCAAAAGGGGCCAAGATGTAGGCCTGTAGGGAAGGAAGTGTGAAGGCCCTGGGTGGGGCTTTGGGCCAGGACAGCTTACGTTAACAAGAGGAAGACAGTAGGCAGAGAGGGCAGCATTTTCTGATGCCAGCTCTTAGCTTCTCATGCTCGAAATTAGGGATAAGCCAGGGCCGCCTCTTAGCATCAGGCCCCTGACAGCGAACCTCATGGCCCTGCTCCTCAGGCAACAGCCCCAACTTGCCTGGCGCAGGCATGGAGTTTGGGGACAAGCCTGGGTTGTTTTTCCAGGAGCGGGGAGAATCCTCTCCAAATCCAGGACTGAGCACATGTCTGCAGTGACTGGGTCTGAAGAAAGGGTTCAGTCTGTGCCCACGTGACAGCAAAGTACTGGCCCTGCACCATGGTTAAGGAGGTCACCTTGTTTCTATTGGGGTCTCAGCTTCATAGCCTCCCTCCCGACCTCCTGCAGGATGCCTCTCAGAGGCCCCTGAGGGGGGCAAGTGCCAGGCAGCCCTTCCTGCCTCTCACAAACCCCCAACCACTAGTGTCCTGACAGAATGTGGGTGACAGGGTGAGATCTCTTACCACCTGGCTGAGGCAGCAGACACAGGGGTGGAATTGGGACTGAGGGTAGGTGCTGGGAGGACTCGGAGGGAGGTTGGGGGAAGGGCTAGAGTATGGGTCAGGGATTCAACTAGGTAAAAATTAGCTGTTCAGGTGAGAATTGAGGTCAGAGCTGAAGTTAGCATAGCATTTGGGGGCTTATGTGTTTTGTGTGTGTGCTTTGTGGGAGGTACAGGAGCTCAGTCCCTCAGCCCTGGACATGGCTGGTGGCAGAGGAGGCTGGCTCTGGCATGATCTTTACAGGGCCACAGGCCAAGTTTGCTGGCTTCCTCCCCTGCAAAAAGGGCAGTGGGCTGGGGACCCTCCCTGTAAGATGGGGCCCTAAAGTCACCCTCTGGAGCCTATTGGCAGTGCCGAGCTGAGAGCTTCTCCAGGGGGCGTGCTCCTGAGCCCTAGGCTCCTGGGAGCTGAGGAAATGGCTGGGCCTAAGGTAGGGTGGCAGGTAGGGGCTGGTTGGGACCCCACCCCTCCCCATCCCGTGCCCATGGGGCAGTGGGGACATCAGACACTGCTGTACTGTGATGGGGTCAGCCTTAGTCAGCCAAACTTTTGTGCACAGCAGAAGCTGTGAGTCCTGCCCTGTGCCAACCGAAGAGTAAGCACAGCCCACTTCATCCCCCACCTCCACACTAAAGCATGTTTTTTGCTCCAAGAATGTAGTCAAGGGCTTGACAGCAAACCTGGGCTCCAGCTGGTCCCAGACCTTGTCCACATCATGACCCAACAGTACCTAATACTGTTATCTGTTCTACTTTCCAAAGAGCTGAAGGGGAGGCTGACTTAGGAGCCGGGCCTGGCTGGGATTAAATCAGGCTACTTGACCTGGGGCCTCAGTTCTCTCTTGCAGGCATGCACCCTGCACAAGAAGGGGTAGAAGAAAAGCCAGGACCTTTGGGGGGCTCATGAATTATTAATTCACTTTAGTGAGCCAGCTGACTCTGTTCTTTGTCCTTGCTCTCTGCTCCCTGAAGTCTGTCAGGAGCACCAGGGCAGATGCCAAATAGAGGGTGACCTAAGGCACCTGGCCGGGGTGTGGGGGCAGAGGCAGGCACACATCCCTCTGCCTCTATGCTCAGCCCCCGCATTCGGCTGGGGTTCCCCTTGGTGCCTGGAGGCCCCTCTTCCCTCCACCCCACCCCTCAAAAGCCCAGGGACTTAAGTGCTGAGAACAAAGGCCAGAACCAATTGATCAGAGTCACTTAATGATTAATACCCTGGACCCCTCACAGTGAGGTCTGTGGACTACGACCCTGGTGAGGCTCACAGCCACCCAAGTGCTGCAGGCAAAGGGGCTGAGCAGGGCAGGGGCTGGAGGAGTCCCAGGACCATATCAGGACTGGGCTCAGAGCTCTGTAGGGGCAGTCAGTTCTCCAGGGTGAAAGGTCACCTTGGAGAGAGGTCTTCCCACAGCTCTGAGGTTGGCAGACCCCTCTGGAGGTAGGCATGCCCTGTCCACCTCAGAGTGGGGCATGGCTGCTTCTCTATGGTGTCTCCTTGGCACCCCCGCCCCCTACACTGAGCTCTCTCTGCTTTTTGACCCCTCTGTTCTCCGTGACCCTCCCTCCAGGCTGCAGCGTGGACAGCCACAGCTCAGCCAGGCCAGGTCATTGGGAGCAGCAGGGGCTGCTCATTTCCCCACAGCTCCTCACATTCCAGTGGGGACGGCCATGGTCTGCAGCTGTGGGTCACCAGATGGGGCTGGGAGGGGAAGGAACACACTGAACATCAATGCATGCATGTGTGGACGTGTGTGCATGTGCATGCATGAGTGTGCACACGCCCCCATGCCGCCCTGACCTGCAGGAACCCCCCGGTGCAGCCGGCTATGAAGACTTGCGTATAGCTGGGTGGCTGGAACCGCCGCTCGTGGTGGGAGGTGGCCGTGAGCACCAGCAGGGTGTTGCTGTAGACCCCGAACAGGACTGAGTTGACCACAGCTATGCTGGCTATGGGGAAGCTCATCCCCTTGAAGAAACCCTGGAGCTGCAGGGAGAGGACAGCACTAGAGTGGGTGGGGGACAGGGACCTCCCCTTTGCCCTCCCCAGCCTGGCCAGGTCTCCTCTAGCTGGAAGCCACTCTGAGCCTGGCCAGAGGGAGAGACAGCCCAGGCTGGGCCAGCCTCAGTACCATCCTCGAGGCACTAAGCTACCACCCAGCCGCTGTGACTCCAGACTTGGGTCTTCTCTCTCCCAAGGGCAGAGCCCTGCCTGGGGAGGAGGAAGCTGACTGACTGCCCAGATGCCTCCCATCTGAAAGCCCCAAAGAAGCAGGCCACCCACCGACTCACGGCGGTAAGTCTTGACCATACAGTCGATGATGCCTTGGTATGTGGTCTGGGTCTGTAGCCGCACCTAGATGGGAAGGACAGAGCAGGCGGGCAGGCCCGGCATGGGACCAGCCCAGCATGCCTCTGGCTCTTTGAGCAGGATGCCAGCAGGGCAGGAGAGGCAGGGAAGAGCCTCTGTGAGCCAGGCTCTGCTCTCAGGATGTCCTGACGCTTGGTTCAGGTGACATCTTTCATTCCTTGGATGTCTCCCCTAGACTCACCTTTACAGTGTCAAAGGGGTGTCCCAGGACCAAGCCCAGAGCTCCTGTGGTGACAAGAAGGTGCTGTGAGTGAGGCCCCTCTCGCCAGCTGAGAAAGCAAGTCTGTGCTGAGAGGAGAGAGGGATTCAGGCAGGAGAGAGGGCAGGGCCTTCTGTCAGCCTCCAAAGAAACTCTGGCTGGCCCCTTGGGACCCTCCACGCCAGGCACTGGGCTAGGAGAGCATGAGGACAAGGGTACAGCAGAAGAGAGCCCCAACCTTGCCCGGAGGACACACTTGCAGAAGGGAGGAGCCAGCCACAGACACCCAGTGTCCTCAATGAGAGCCCAAACCCGAGTGTCTTGCTGGCTTCTCTAGCCATGGGCTCTGGAGGGGTCCCCATCATTCCTGTCTCCCTGACAGCTTCACTCCTTCCTTCTTTCCTCCATCAACTCACAACCACTGTCCAGTTCAGGGCCTTGGTCCAGACCAGGCCCTGCCCTACAGGTCCTCTGCCGCTGTGAGCCAGCAGTGCGGAGCTGGGGTCCTTAGGGGTGTCTTGTTGGCACAGCGGAGGAGGGTCCGGCCCCCAGCCATCTCCCCACCTCCTGGTCTTGCCCTCTGTAGCAGAGGCTGGTCCTGGAGCCCTGAGAGAGGTTGAAGCCTTAGGAGGCAGGCTCAGAATACCCCTCTATTTCTCCTGAGATATGCCACCCAGGACCTGAGCTGGGCCCAGAGCACAGCAGGCCTCAGGGTCTGGGCATCAGCTCACTGCCAAGTGGGACAGAGACCCAAAGGGAACACAGGACAGCAGGTGAGGTCCAAGGTGAACTTCTTTCTGAGCCCACACGGCAGGCTTGGACTGGGGTTCGAGGCGCAGGTGCTGTGGGTGCATCAGGGAGAGTACTCACCTTGGCTCCTGCTCTTGGCAGGTGTCAGGCAGCACAGCCTTGGGACAGAGCAGCAGTACCCTGCCACCTGTGCCTTCCTGCCCTCTTTCCTCAGGCAACTCCCAGGAGGCTCTGGGACCGCTGGCTCTGGGCACTCCAGGGGAACCAGGACTTTGGTCTCAGCAGCTCCTATGCCACCCACCTTCCCCAAGAAGTGACCTGCCACTGGGGCGATGTGACAGAAGGAAGAAAAAGGTCTCACCGGAGATCCAGCCGGCCACAAACTCCTCCACAGGCATTGTCCTGCCAGGTGGGAACTGGCGGCTTCAGCAGAGGAGACGGGTGAGAGTATAACTCTGCCCTGTCCCTCCCTGAACTGGACTGATAACCTCCCAGTAATGTTTAACCCTGGGTGGAGGGTGAGCAGTGGCCCAGTGCCCAGACCTTGGGCATCAGGAGAGGGGAGTGGAACGAGGTGTGCAGTGTGAAATCTCATGGGCAGGGATGACGGCCCATGGTGACCTGCCAGCCCTGCCAGCCAACAGTGGCCTTGAAGTGTTACTAGAACTGGCAGTCAGGCCAAGACCCCTGGTTGGGCCCCTTCAGGCTGCCTCAGTCAGCACAGGTTTAATCAGCCCACACTTCAAACACCAGGCGCAAGGCTGAGAGATGGAGCATGGCCACCAGGGGGCAGGCCCAGCCCAAGGTCTTCCATAGCTGTGGGGAAACCACACAGCTGAAATGGTGGGAACCACCCCAGAGGAGTGACTCACCAGCGCCTGAAGCAGGCCTTATCCCTGGGTTGTTTACTACTCCCCCAGTCGAGTCATAAACAGCCTCCCACAGCCTCTTCTCCACTGAGCCTCTTGCCCGGGGGAAAGGTGAGGATTTGAGTGTATAGGGTGGTGTGCTTCTCTGCTTTGGAGTGATAAGGCTTTGACGGCCATTTCTCTTTGGACAACTACAGCCCAACTGACAGAGCAGGGACCGAATCCCTCTCCTTGGAGGATGAGGGAGAAGAGGGACGAAGAAGAGGGGTGGGCGCCTCTTTCGAGGGCACAGAGATCCAGTGCTCAGGAACCACTGCCCATAGAAATCTGTGAAGGCCAGCCCTGGCTGGTTTGGCTCAGTGGTTAGTGTGTTGGCCCACGGACCAATGAATCAATTCCAATCAAGGGCACGTACCTCAGTTGCAGTTCAGTCCCTGGCCCTGGTCAGGGTTGTGCAGGAGGCAACTGGTGGATGTGTCTCTCTCACATTGATGTTTTGCTTGCTCGCTCGCTCTCCCTCTCTCATCTCCCTCTCTCCCACTCTATCTGAAGATAAATAGAAAAAAATATCCCCGGGTGAGGATTAAAAAAAAAAGAAATCTGTGAAGGTCCCAGATGTGGGCACCAACCTTTGAGTTGTCCTGACTCCTCCCTTTCCCCCCACACCTCACTGCCATTCCGTGAGGCAACTGCATTAATATTACCTTCTAAGCAGAGCTGAATCTACCAGCAGCCCCCAGCCTCCTCCACTGTCACATCCACTTGGATTCCTGCCCCTGACTGCCCTCCCTGCCTCCACCCTTGACCCCTTCAAGTATGTTCTCCACGAAGCAGCCAGAGTGATACAGTTAACAGCTAAGTCAGACCATGTCCCTGCTCCACACAATGCAATGGCTTCATCCTGCTCAGAGTTGGAACCAAAGTTCTCTTCCCAGGCTCTAGGAACCCTCACAGTGTGGCCTCATCTTCTCTGACATCATCTCTGGCCACCCCCTTGCTCCCTTTGCTCCAGCCCCCTGACCTCCTCCTTTTCTACAAATGGGCCCCTGCCTCCGGCCTTCACACTGGCTGTTCCCTCTTCCTGTTGGTCTCCTCTAGCTTGGTCTCTGAGGTCACCCACAAAGTGATCCCACCCTGATTGTCTCATTGAACATTGCCATCTGCTCTACCTGCCCAGCGTTCTTGGCACCTCTTCCTGGCTCTACCTCTTCATTCCTCCATCACACTCATCACCTCCTGTCGCACTATGTAACTAACTTGTCTGTCTGGGCAGGCATCTCTGGCTGTTTTGTTCACTAATGTTTATCTTGAAGGCTTAGAACACAGAGTAGACATTCAATAAATATTCATTGAAACAACAAATGAGTGGACAAGTCGGGGCAGCATCAGTAGACAGCTCTGCACCAGTTCTCAGTCTCCAGTTCTTTCCCTCCATCTCCAGAGGACCTCTAAGAATGTAAGGCCCGACGATACCCCTCGTGCCCTCCAGGTCTCGTTGCAGCTCTCAGCTTCCCATCAGATGTCCAGGGAACAGTCCTGCTCGCCCTTATTCTCTCCCTCTGCCAAAGCAGATTCCATCCACCCCACTACTTTCTCATGGGGAGACAAGTTCAAGGAAGCAGGGTTTCATCTCTGACACCCGTCCCTTGGAACTGCCTGATGCTCCTTGGGCTGTCCCCAAGAGCTTCCCGAGCACTGGCCTCTCACAGTGGGCTAGGCTGCAACCCTACTTCTGTTCATTCTCTCCTGAGTGATGTTGGGCAATCCCTTCTGTGGGCCTGAGTGTCCTTAATTCTTGCAAAAGTAGGGGACCAGTCCAGCTGATTGCTGAGTCTAAGGCCTCTTGGCTCTGAAGGCCTATGAGCTGGCCTGGCTGGTGTGACTCAGTGGTTGGGCATCAATCCATGCATCAAGAGGTCGCAGGTTTGATTCCCGGTCAAGGCACGTGCCCAGGTTGTGGGCCGGATCCCCAGTGGGGGGGGGGGGGCGTGCAAGAGGCGGCCAATCGATGTTCTCTCTTGTTTATGTTTCCGTCTCTCTCTCTCCCTCTCTCTCTAAAATTAACAAAAGAAAACAAAAAAGGCCTGTGAGCTGCCCCCTTACTTCATAATGGGCCCCACTGTCTTCTCTAATCCCACTGTACCACTCCAGTTCATGGGAGACCAGTTAGCAGTCCCCAGAGCCTTGCAGAAGGAGTCTCCCTGACTAGCTCTTCTTCAGTCCTCCTGCAAGTTCCACCAGGTTAACCGTCCACCTTGCAGAGCATAGCTCTGATCTCTCACTCCAGCTCACAACCTCCCAAACATCCTCAATGCCTGCCAAGTCCACCACACAGCCCTCACCCTGGTGTTCACCCCCCAGGGGTGCCACCCACCTTCCTGGCCTCACCTGCTGTGCTCTGATTGCCCAGGGCTTCTCAGGTGTTTTAACTGCGCCCCTGGAATTCCTTTAGGAATCTCTGCCCCTCCTTGCTGGACCTGGGTTCCAGCCTCCTCACCATCACTACACATACACCAGACCTTATCTTCATTATTTAACCTTTTAGATCCTGTTTTCTCATAAAATGGAGACGTATACTCAGTATGTTATAAGGATTAAGGCAGTTAGAGCCCTGGCTGGTTTGGCTCAGCGGTTAGAGCGTTGGCCAACAGACCAAAGAGTCGTGGGTTCGATTCTGGTCAAGAGCACGTACGTCAGTTGCGGTTCCTCCCAGGTCGTATGGGAGGCAACCAGTCGATGTGTCTCCCTCACGTCGATGTTTCTCTCTCTCTCTCTTTCTCTCTCTCCCCATCCCTTCCACTCTATCTGGTGATAAATAGAAAAAGTATATCCTCAGGTGAGGATAAAAATAAAAAAAATAAAGCACTTAGAAAGGGTCTGGCACACTGTACATGCTCCACAGATGGGAGCTACTATTCCTCTTATTCCCATGCCCAGGGTCCATGAGGGTGACCCGAGGAAACACAGGAAAGGACCTAGCACAGAGTAGGTGCTCAGGAATGTAAGATACTTCCCTTCCCGTTTGTGGCATTTTATATTTTTAAGGCAATCCTGTCATGTTATAGTTTTAAACATGTGTTTCTTCTGGGCTTCTCTCTGTCCCCTCTCTTCCTACACTCCCCAATTAAACCATAACATAGCCCTGGCCGGTGTGGCTCAGTTGGTTGAAAGTCATTCCATCCACTGGAAGGGTGCAGGTCTAATTCCCCATGAAGGCACCTGCCCAGGTTGTGGGTTCGATCCCCGGTCAGGGTGTGTACAGGAGACAACCAATCGATGTTTCTCTCTTTCTTTTTCCCTTCCTCTCTCTAAAATCAATAAAAACATATTTAAAAAAAATTTTAAACATAAAAAAAAAATTGAACCCTAACATAACCTTCCATGTCTCACCAAGGTCTCTATCCCCTGCCCTAGCCCAGGCCCCACTCCCAGTAAACACTCAACACTGCACTGTGTTCCCATTTCACTCCAGCAGGTTTAGGGAGGCCACCGAGCCAATGTGTCCTGGTCTGAGGGTCACAGAGCTGAAAATCAGGAGGGAGATGCCTGTTCCCACTGTGTACTCTTCTCTCTAGCTCACATCTGAGCTTCCCTGAGTCCTTGGGTCATGCTGGTAAGGAAGACACAGTAATGGGCTCAATTGTGGGGCAGTGTGGGTCCTGGAGAGCAGGCTAGGAGCTATTTCAAATATTGGGCAAATTGCCCTGGCCGGTTTGGCTCAGCGGCTAGAGTGTCGGCCTGCAGTTCAGAGAGACCCGGGTTTGGTTCCCACTAAGGGTGCGTATCTCGGTTGCAGTTTGTCCCCGGCCCTGGTTGGTCATGTGGGTGGCAGCCACTCGATGTGTCCCTTTCACGTCAATGTTTCTCTCTCTCTCTCTCTTCCTCCCACTCTATCTGAACAAAAAACTGAACAAAAAATGGAAAAATGTCGAGGATTAAAAAAAAAATATATATATATATATATATATGATATTAGGCCTGGGCTAGGAGCCGGTGCCACCTTCCAATGCCAGAGAATCAGGGCCTGGTGAGCCCATCCCCACTTCCCTCACCCTACCCCTCTCCCTCAAACCCCTCCTGGTTCTGCTGATCACCAAGTTCACTGTTGTCACTTGGAACAATCTCTTGTTCCTTTAGCTCAGGAAGGCACCCATGGACCTGTTTTTCTCCCTGAGATCCACACCTCAGGCACACACGCTGGCCTTGCCAGGACATGTTGGTGACGTGACCCAGGGGATAGGTAGTTTCACACCTGCTCTTCCAGCCCCCAGTGCCTTTCCCCAGTCTGGGAAGGCCTCAAGGTCTCTGAGGCTGTGTGTCTAAGATAGCAAGGGCTGCCCAGCTGGTGTGGCTCAGTGGACTGAGCATCATCCCATGGACTGAGAGGTCCTGGTTTGATTCCTGGTCAGGGCATATGCCAAGGTTGAGGGCTCCATGCCCAGTAGGGGGTGTGCAAGAGGCAGCCGATTGATGTCTCTCTCTCTCTCACATTAATGTTTCTATCTCTCCCTCCCTTCCTCTCTCTAAAAAGTCAATAAAAACATATTTGTTTTAAAAAGATAACAAGGGGCCATGTGACTGCTCCCTGGAAAAACACGTGTGCCCGGCCTGGGTTTCTGGCAAATAATTTAAAGGTCCTGGGAGGGCACCCTCATTTCCCATATGAGGAAACGGGCAGGGAGGGGAAGGGGTTTGTCCAGGATGAGTCAGGACAGGAACAGTCTCCTGACCACAGCCTAGACCCCATCACCCCTCATGGTCCCGGGGGGGGGGGGGGGGGCTGCAATACAGGCCCCTGCCTGTGTCACCTTTACCTGGGGCCCAGCGGGTGTGAACCAACGAGCCCCTGACGCGACCAGGAAGCATCTCCATTTTACAGGTGAGGGGGACAGGCCCAAGTCCCACACAAGTGAGTGCCAGAGCTCACGCCCAGATTCCCAATTGCCTTGAACCTTCCACACCATGTTACAGGCTACCGGTGTGGGGACCACAAGCCCTTGGTCACTCGGGTTCGTCGTGCGGCCATCCCAGGGTGTGACCCGACAAACCGGGCGTGTGACCCGGGCGTCCCGGGCATGCGCAGGACCGCGAGGGTGGGGCCCCTGTGTGCGCGGGCACTGGGCAGGGCGCGTGCGTGGCGGCCCGGGCTCCAATTGGCTCCCGCGGGCTGGGGAGGCGGGGCCGCGCAGCGCCGCGCTTCCTCTGTCCTTGCTTCCGCGTCGCTGCCCGGGAGCTGGAGCCCGAGGGGGGAGCCGAGGTCTTGGCGGGCGGCAGAACCCGAGCCGAGCGGGTCCGGGTCACGGCAGCAGCCTGGGCTGAGGCGGCTGGCACTGCGTCCCTGAGAGGTGAGCGCGCGGCGGCGCCCGCCTGGGCTTGCCGGCGAGCCGAGCTGCCACCCCGCTCCTGACCTCACGGCCTGACCCCGCCCACCAGCCCTGACCTGGAGTTGGCTGAGGACCCCTCCGCACCCCTCTAGTCTGCACACCAATGCCTCCAGCCATGTTGTTCACTTTCGCAGATCAGCCCGGGACACCACCACCCCTTCCTCATGTGAGCTTGTGGGACTCCACAGCCCCCCAGCCCCACACCCCCAGTAACTGCTCTTTCTCTTTCCCTCTGCAGATGGACGGGACAGAAGGCAGTGCCGGGCATCCCGGCCCCGCTGAACGGTCCCATCGAAGCAGCGTGTCCTCCGTGGGAGCGCGAGGTGGGTCCCTGTCCCCATCTCCCCGCTGTAGCCTTCTGGGGCCCCAGCCCTGGGGACGCGGCCCTAGCTTCTCATCTTTTCCATTAAAGGGAATCATGTGTGTTAATTAACAAATGAGGTATGTTGAGGTATGAGAAGTGACCCAAGTCAGCCAGAGGTCTTGGGTTAGGCTACAAGTTGAGTACTCCTCTTGAATCTCCCTTTCTTCATTTGTAAAATGAGCTTGTCACACATGGCTGGGAAATTCAAAAGACATCTTACAAGTGAAAAGTGACACATTCACTTTCTTTGTTGGGTTTCTTTCCCACAAGCACCCTTTTGAAAGCAGGGATCATTATCTTAATTTTATAGGAAGGAAATTGGGCCCTGGAGAGGTTAATAGGACACTGGAGCCTTCAATGCTTCAGTTGTCCTTGCTTGAAAAGTGGGCTTGAATCTCAGCCTCCTAGAGATTATTTTATGACCTTTCAAGAGAGTAGCTGTTGGGGAACAGACTGGGTATCCAAGAGCATCTTCACCTGTATTAACGATAAACTGTGCCCTTACCTTTCACAGGCTTCACCTCATTTGATTCACAGTTCCTCTTTGAGGGAGGGGTATTAGCCCTGCTTTACAGGTGAGGCAGGCTACACTCACACTGACTTGCTGAAGTCAGCCGGCTAGCCAGAGGCCAAGCGGGGATTGGAACCTGAATAGACTGCCTCCAAGCTCAGTGCTCCTTCACGGTAGCTGCGGTTCCAGGGATGGGAGTTTGAATCTGGCTGCTCTTCCAAGGGTCTCCCTTTGGCTCTGGGCTCCAAATAGGAATCCCAGAGGCTGTCACAGGGAATGCTCAACTTGTACTTCCCCTGGCCTATTTGAGACTGTTCTGAAAGGCCATAATACTGAGTTCTGAGGCTTGAAGAGTCCTGAGGAAGTTGAGCCCTGGATCTTGCCTTGCCCTGGGGTGGCCTTGAATCCTCAGTTCCCATCTTAGCCTGGGCCAGAGAGAGACAGCGAATTGCCCTAGTGGGTCACCAGCTCTCCCCTCTCCCGGCCTGATATACTAACTGCTGTCACTTCACTATGGATTCAGCCTATCTGCCTCAGTACCCCAATAGAATGTTCTCCCTCATGGAAGAAGCACAGAAGAGTTCTTGGGTCTGCCAGGGGAGGGTGGCCAGCCCTAATTACAACCTTTGGGGGTTTGGGTGGGGCTGGCCAGTCGCTGGGGCAGAGTTGCTGGGTTTCTGGGTAGTTTGAGTATCTTGAAGAAGTCCTAAAAGATAGCACTCTTTATAGGGTCCTTTGAGGATGCTGGGGCTCTGCCTCTGGAGTATAGCCTTGGTCACCCAAGGGTATAGAGTGGAGGGTGCCTGATGGACATGCTTGTGCCTGGGCACTGGCCCAGCTGACCCTGGCTTCCATTGCAGCAGCTGATGTGCTGGTGTATCTGGCGGATGACACGGTGGTGCCTCTGGCTGTGGACAACCTGCCATCTCTCAGTGCCCACGAGCTACATCGCGCCATCCGTGAGGTCCTGCAGCTCCCGGACATTGCCCTGGATATCTTCGCACTCTGGCTAGTCTCCCCTCTGCTGGGTAAGACGTGGCAATGAGACACAGGTGGGAGGGTTGGAAGGGTGCTGATCAGTGTGGAGGAGAAGGGGGTAGCTTCCAGAACCTGTGGCCACTGTACATCAGGGGAAGGTGAGACTTGTGTGTGCCCTGGAGCTGTCCACTCTTTTGAGGACCCAGAGCCCTGACAGGATGCCTGGCTCCTCTGCTTCCACCTCCTTTCTTTCTGCTGGTGGCAGAGGAGGGGTGGACCTGCCCGGCAGCCTCAGCATTCTGGAGCCTGGGGCGTTAGGAGGCGCAGGACTAGGAGACAGGGAGGGAAGTGGTCTGCGTGCACTGAGCGCATCGTCTGTGCCACAACCTGAGCTGGCAGTTCATGGGCAGAATTTCACCTTATCCTCATGGCCCAGCCCTGTCTTGCAAATGATGAAATTGAGGTTTGAAGAGGTGGGACCAGTGAGTGGTAGGACTGAGGTCAGAACGGAGCCTGGGTAGTCCCTAGCTGACCTCCTTGAACTGTATCTGATCTTGAGGGCAGGGAGGAGGGTGGTACTCAGCCTGGAAAGCCGCCACCCCTGACGATGAGACTTCTCCTGAGGGTGGGGAAGGCAGGTGAGTGGGAACCCAACTTCTCTGCCAGGAGGCCTCCAGCCCTGCCTGGTTTCTGCCCTGTGGCCACCAGTGTCCTGCCCTTTCAGCAGAGTTTCCCTAGGCAGGGATGGATCAGGAGTGAGGACAGTGGCTCTCCAGACCCTCAGGCCCGGGAGGGGGAGGGGTGGGAGTTCCCCAGGGCCTCTAAATAGGGCTTCCAGCCTACTTAATTGGACAGGAAGGGGACCAGGGAAGAGGATGCCCCAACTGATGCCAGGGGCAGGCATGTTTTCTGAGCTTAAATTCTCCTACGTTATAGAGGAGTACGAGCAAGAAGACGGTGACTGGTCACCAGGGCCTCTAGTGGTTGGGGTTTGTGACTCTACCATAGAGTGGGGATATTGGCTGGCTTGGTGGGAGAGCGAGTGCCTGTACCCCCACACACCCTGCCCACCAGTTGGAGCTTCCTGTCCAGCTGCTGCTCTCGCCCACCCTCTTCCTACTAACTCTGGTCTCCTCCGGCTGCTCCCCACCCAGCTCAGCTGCCCCTGCTTCACCCTCCCGGCAATTGGTCAGGACTATGGGCCCCTTGGCTTGTGTCTTTGAAAAGCTGGGAGTGGCAGTTCCATGTGGCCGGCCCTGCCTCAGGCTCCCTGTCTCTGCAGCTGGACAGCTTGTTGCCTCCTCTCACTTCCTCTGCCCCCACTCCCTCCTCATCACATTCCTGCTCCCCCTCAAGGATATGAATGGGCTGCCTGTGTGGCCTGCTGGCCTGGTCACCCTGGGGTACTGCCTCGTCCAAGAGGAGGGTGGCTAGAGGCCCCAGCACAGTGTCAGTGCCCACTTTGTTCCCTTACTGGCTTCAGGGAGGCTGAAAGGCCTCTTCAGCTTTGACTTGGCCCCTCGGAACCTTTGCCCCACCCCACCCCCAGAGTGGGTGAAGTACTGACAGGCCCAGGGCGGTGAGGCAGGGAGGGGGTGCTGTCCGCCAGAGCCGCCCTTCCTTCGAGCTGGATGTTTGGAAGGGTTTGGCCTTCTCAGCGCCATTGTCACTCTACATGGAACAGGGCTCCAGGGACAGTCAGCCTGGGTGACAGCTTCCAGGCAGAAAGGCCTCATCTGGAAGTATGTTGGACCGTGGGGTCAGCATAGTTCTGTTCTGATAGTGGGAGTCCTCTGAGCTGCTGGGGCTCGGGGATACAGTGGGAAGCAAGATGGAAGGTGTTCCTGCCCTCGGGGAACTTGCAGTCTAAAGTGTGGGGCAGGTCCTGGCCTGTTTGGCTGAGTGGTTATAGCGTCAGCCCACGGACCAGCCCCGGTTGGGGTTGTGTGGGTGGTAGCCAGTCAGTGTGTCTCTCTCACATCGATGTTTCTCTCTCTCTCTTCCTCCCTCTGTCCCTCCTACTCTATCTGAAGATAAACGCAAAAAAAAAAAAAAAAATGTCCTGGGGTGAGGATAAAAAATTTTAAAAAGATAAAGTTTAGGGCAGGAGGCTCAGCGGGCAGATTTCTGCTCTGGTTCAGCCACTAACGCTGGTGGCATTGGGCAAGCACTGTCCCTCTTTGGGCTTCAGTGAGTCCAGATTGTGCTCAAAGGGTCTGGCCGAGCATGTAGGGTTGGGGGAGCCCTTCCTGGAGGGGAGAAGACACTGCTGCTCATGGCAGGCTCCCCTCCTAGGAGTGGTGGGGCAGGGGGGTTACATATGGGTGTAGTCAGGGATCTCGGCTGAAACAAGGGCAGCGGAGCCACCAGGAATTCTAGGTCAGAGAAATGATGGGAGAAGAAAGGGGTCTGAAGAAGCTGAGTGCAGGGGTTGGGTGGAAGAGGTGGTAGGCAGGGAGGGAGGCCACTTTGGAGGTTGTGGCTGCTGTTTTGGGTTACGATTAGGGTCTATTTAGTTAGTTTTTTTATCCTCACTGAGGACATTTTTGCATTTATCTTCACATAGAGTGTGGGGTGGAGGGGAGAGAAACATCGATGTGAGAGAGACACATTGACTGGTTGCCACCCATATGACCCCCAATGGGGCCGGGGACAAACTGCAACCAAGGTGCCCTTAGTGGGAACCGAACCCAGGACACTCTGGTCTGCAGGTCGATGCTCTAATCACTGAGCCAAACTGGCTCATCAGGGCACGATGAGGGTCTAGATGAAAGTCCAGAGAACAGAGACAAGGACCCTTGCCATCATCAGGCAGGACAAGGTGCCCAGCCCTCTGGTGGGAGGGGTAAAGGGGACAGGTAAGGGTCAGAAGGCAGAAATAGTTAGTTGATGGTGTGGATATTGCCACTCCCCTAGCAGCCATTCTCATTCATCACCAGATGGTCTTGGAAATGGCCTCAGACTTCTTGAAAGCTGGGGGCTGCAGTGTACAAGATGAAACTTGTCATTCCTGGGTTGAGCTGCAGAGTCCTGGGCCAGCTGACAGTCTGGGGTTGATGGGCCAATCTGGTGAGGGCCCACAGTGGGCCAGGGGTACAGCAGTGACCTGGGCAGAGGCGCTTCTGCCCTCATGGCACTCCTGCTAGGGTGGGTACAGACAGTAAGGCGATGTTAGATTGTGCTGATCACTGTCAAGTCAGCCTAGTGGGGTACAATTGGTGTGATAGGTGATGGAGGGGCTGCCTTAGTTGAGAGTCCAGGGAAGGTGACACTTGAACTGAGATCCAAGCCAATCAGCCATGTGATGATCTGGAGGAAGGGTACTGAGGCAGGAGGAACAGCAAGTGCAAAGGCTTGAGGCATAAACGAGCTGGGAATGTTCAGATTGAAGAAGGCCAGAGTGGGAGAGTGGGCTAGAGAAGGGGGTGGGGTGGGGGAGCTGGATGGCATGGCATCTTTAGGCATGGAGGCCAGGAGTATGAAGGATGGAAGGTCAGCTGGAGCTCCCAGGGGAGAGGTTGGAGGCGGGGGCTGGCAAGGGAGAGGCCCAGGCTCTGCCAGGGGCAGGAGAGGGCAGCCCCTCAGGTCTCAGTTACCAGCTTCAGGCTCTGCTTCCTCATGGCAGTGCTGGGTCCATCTGTACTGCCACCCCCAGCACCTTCTATCTGCACAGCTTCTTAGCTCCAGCCTACCCTGGGTACTGTAGGGACCAGTCAGAGGCTGGCTCTGCTATATGCCTTGGAATTGCCAGTCGTCATGTGCTGCTGGGCAGGCGGCAGTTGCACTTGTGTTGCTTTGGGGCTGTGCACCTGCTCTTCCTCCCATCTGCACTGGTAGAAGCTGCATGGGCCGCTTCCCTCTTGTCCTGCAGAGGTGCAGCTGAAGCCCAAGCACCAGCCCTACAAGCTGGGCCGCCAGTGGCCTGAACTGTTGCTTCGCTTCACCGATGCCCCGGGTGATGACGTGGCCACAGGTGAGTATGCTCCTGCAAGTCCCTGTCTCAGGGCCCACCTGGGTCTAGAGCACGCACTCCCAACCTAGTCAGGCCTCCGGTGGCAGATGGAGGCAGCCAGAGTAGCAGCTTCCTCAGGCCCCATCAGCTCTCCTGGCAGAGGAGCCTGGGGTTCCTGAGGGGAACCCAGGAGAGGATGGGCTGGGAGGTCAGCACCCATGTCGAGATAAGCACAGATCTCTCTCTTTGGACAGCCCTTGGGCTTTTTCAGTCATGGTTGGGTGAGTCTGAGGATTGGGGACTGGCCATTCAGGAGAGGGCTGGGCAGTGACCCCAGCCTCTCCCCCCAGATGAGCCTTCTCTGCAGTTCCGAAGGAACGTGTTTTTCCCAAAGCGGCGGGAGCTCCAGGTGAGGCAGCAAACCCCAGGCAGGTCTGGTGCCCTGTGTTCAGCCTCCCCTTGTCCCTAGACCCCTGGACACTGGTACCTGCCCTACTGAGCAGCTCCTCCCTGCCACACAGATTCACGACGAGGAGGTCCTGCGGCTGCTCTACGAGGAGGCCAAGGGCAATGTGCTGGCGGCACGGTACCCATGTGATGTGGAGGACTGCGAGGCCCTGGGTGCCCTGGTGTGCCGCGTGCAGCTCGGGCCCTTCCAGCCTGGCCAGCCCACGGCCTGCACCTTGAGGTGAAGGCCAGTGTGACCTGAGGCAGGGGTGCAGGGCGGGAGGGTTGCACTGGGATCCTACTTAAATTGGTCTTAGGTTTTGCAAGGTCTTGGAGTTAGGAGGCCTCGGCCGCAGGCTGGCCCTGACACTGTGTGACCTTGGGTGAGTCACCCCACCTCTCTGAGCCTCCTTTTCCTCCTCTACCCTGAGCTGAGGAGCTTGGGCAGGGGAAACTTGGGTGAAGTACATCTGTGAGAGGAGCCCCAGCCCAACGAGCCCTAGATGTGCATGAGGATGGAGTTCAACCTCCATCTGAGGTCAGGAGGGAGCTGGGCTTGTTTATTTGTACTCACTGTTAGGGATGATGTGGGGCACAGATGACAAAAATGCCCACAGCAGCCCTGAGTAGGGTGGGTAGCCCCCTGGAGTTCCCTCCTCGTGCCACCCTGCAGTTGGGCCTCTCTGGATCAGCTGCCCTTCCCCATGGCCTAGGGTGTTTGGTCCTCCAGAAGCCCCAACAGGGACCCTCCGCTCTTCGGCAGAAATGACAACTGCAGTGATATTTGTTTGGCACCATTTGCATGACAGGAACGTGCCAGTGCCCTTCCATGCGAGTAGATAACCGTCTCCTTAGGTTACACATGGGGAGCCGAGGCTTGGTGAGGGTGCTCGGTGCTCGAAGCCTGAGGCTGCAACTGTGGTTGATGCAGAATGACCAGTGTGTGGCCCACCTAGTCACTGGGCTGCTTAGGATGGGGAGGACATTCAGCCACACCTAGATTCTCACCCTGTGTGTGTGATTGAAAATGTCCTTTCTCATGAATCTGTGCCAATGGATTGTAGGCTGGTGTTTTTTTACATCCCTATATGGCAGAACAAAACCTTGATAGTTGAGTTACTTGTACCGTTCTTCATTGCAAAAGTTTCACTAGTCCAGCGATCCAGCCTTCCTTACTTGTGACCCAGACATTGCTGAGACCTCCAGCCACAGGCTGGTTCTGAGGCGGGCCTGGGTTGACTCTTCTCTTCATCTCCTGACTTTTTCTTCAGGTCTCTCGCTGAGATAGCAGCAGTAGGATCCCCTGGCAGCCTGTGTCCAGCCCCCCCCCCCCCCCACGAGCTTGCCCGAACCTGAGAACTTGGCACCTCTGGCCAGCCACCAGCCACAGAGCCTCATGCTTCTTCCATCCTCCACAGGGAGAAGCTGGGCTCCTTCCTCCCTGCCCACCTGTGTAAGCGGGGCCATGGGCTCTTCGCTGCCCTCTGGGGCCGTGGGGCCAAGGCTGGGACCAGTGAGCAGGGCCTGCTCAACGCCTACCGCAAGGTGCAGGAAGCGGTCAGCGGCGACAGCGAGCGCGAGGCTTCCCTGAGGACCCACTACCGTGCCTACCTCACCAAGTGCCACGAGCTGCCCTATTACGGGTGAGCATCGCCGTGGGCAGCCGCAGCCCTGGGTCTCCTCTGTCCCATGGCAGCCCTGGCCTTTGCTAGTGTGGCCTGCCAGTGAGCCCATCTCTGCTCCGGTCGAGCTCCATCCTCTTGTGAGGTGTGCCTTGATGCCAGCACGTCCAGCCCCACGGGCCCAGGCTGGACACTTGTCCTTTCCTTCCTCCCATCACTGACCAGGATACCCTAGACAGGTCCTCTCCTCCGCCTGCTGCGGCCACTTGGTCAGTAGACCTGCTGACCTTCCCTTCAACCAGGGCTCGTTCCCACAGTCAGCCTGTTGCCGATAGCTCTGGTCTGCCTGCTGTGCTGGCACGTAGGTGCTGGCCACTCCACGGTAAGCAGAGAGCATGTCCCTGCCTGGTGAAGCTGCTGCCCTAGTGGAGAGACAGTGAGCAGTAGAAGTAAGAACAGACTGCAGGTGGGCAGGGACTGCAGCCAGGCGACAGGTGAAGACTGTGTGACGTTTCTCCGAAGGGCGTGAGACATGTTCCGATTCCGGAGATGTCGAGTTTGCTGTTAGATGTGCAGCAGGAGAGGTGAAGGAGAGGAGGCAGACAGGGCTCCAGGTTTCTGGCCCAAGCAACCAGAGGACGACACTGTTACCAGCTGAGAGGCGACTGTGCAGTGAAACGGGTTGGGGAAGGTTGGTGGCTTGGCTTTGGAAGTATGGATTTTGAGCTGCTTGTTAGATACCTAGGTAGCCGTTCTGAGTAGACATTTGGATTTCTGAGTCTAGAGTTAGATTGTAACTGTTGAGTTATCAGCACGTGGATGGTGTTTGAAACCAGGGACCCAAACAGATGGCCAAGGAGGTAAATGTGGACGGAAAGAGGACCCCAGCCAGCAAGGCAGGAGGGTCTCTACAAGCCAAGTAAAGGAAGGTATCAAGGAGGGAGTGATCAAGTACCCCATGCTGCTGCTGCAAGGCCAAGTTTGATGTCCTCTGTGGCTGATGGTTGTTTTGGCCCCAGCATCATGGAGGAGGCAGCGGGTGGAAGAGAGTGAGAAAAAGCTTGGAGACAGTGAGTGTAACCGATTCGTTCAGGGAGCCACACAGTGGAACAGAGCAGTAGTTGGTGCGGTGGGGACAGAAAGTTTTAAAAACTTTTTTGCCCTGGCCAGTTTGGCTCAGCAGTTGAGTGTCGGCCTGCAGACCCGAGACTCCTGGGTTCAGTTCCTGCTAGGGGCACGTACCACCAAAAAAAAAAAAAAAAAAACTTTTTAAAAAAAGATTTTAGAGAGAGAGAAAGTAAGAGGGAGAGAGAAAGAAACATCGATGAGAGAGAACATTGATTGGCCACCTCCTGCATGCCCCCCACTGGGGATCAGGCCCACAACCTGGGCATGTGCCCTGACCAGGAATCAAACCAGCAACCTCTTGGTACATGGGTCGACACTCAGCCACTGAGCTACACTAGCTGGGTGGGACAGAAGGTTTTTACTTCAATGACAGACACAGTGTGTGTGCTGGTAGGGGTGGCCCAAGAGAGAGTGAAAACTTCAGATGAGGATGGGCGAGTGGCCCCTCTTCTGGTTGCTTCAGTTTCCTCAGCCCTCTGCCAAGCCTGTAGAAGTCTCCCAGGAGCAGGGACAGGTGCAGGACAGGCGTGGGACTGCCGGGCAGCGGTCGAGGCTGTAATGGAAGGTGATGAGCACTCGTCTTCAGTCCTGCACCACTGCGCCAGTGCAGGCAGTCACAGAGGGGCACTAACTGGGACTCTTGCTTAGCCAAGGGCAAGGGAGAGATGCCAGTGCAGCCACAGTAGTGGGAGAGAACACAGCTGGGCCGGAAGGACAGGCTGGCAGTTCAGTGGGTTGGTGTCCCAAGGCTACTCACCTTTTTCCCTTCTCAGTGTCAAGCCCTGAAGCTGCTTCCCTGGACAACTCCTGGCCTTTCATGGGCCCCAAGCAGGTGCAGCCTTAACCCCCTGTCTGCTGCCGAAGGGAGCAGCATGGCTCTCCCAGCCCTGATGTGGCCTGGCCACCTCCAACAGCCTCATCCCAAGTCCTAGGGCTCCTGGTGGTGCCCTGAACATCACTTGCTCTGTCCACACCTGGATTCACACTCTTTCCTCTGCCTGTGGTGCCCCCTTCTCTATGCCACGCTGTTCCACCTCCTGCCTATTCAAACCCTCCTGTCATGTACGACCAGCTCAGTGCCACCACCTCCAAGAAGCCTTCCTCTCAGTCCCCCACTCTGTTTCTCTCTTCCCTGAGCGTGTTTCCATGTAACTTTCAGTCACCTGGACAGCTAAGCTTCTCTGACACCTGGACAGGGCCTGGCCAGAGCATTCTCTGGTGGGTGAACCAAAATGTTGAGTCGCCTGTTCTTAGTGCTGGAGCAGACAGGCTGACCCCTGCTCCCCTGCCCCCAGGTGTGCCTTCTTCCACGGCGAGGTTGACAAGCCAGCCCAGAGCTTTGTGCACCGTGGCGGGCGAAAGCCAGTGACTGTAGCCATCAGTCTGGAGGGTGTGCATGTCATCGACAACAGGGAGAAGGTACCTTCAGCTCTTGTAGGGTGGGCCCTCAGGAAAGGAAGGGAGTAGAGGCTTTCTGGGTTCCCCGAACCTGTGGTTGTCCTTGGGGCAGGGTGGGTGGCCTGTCTGAGAGGGCCCCTTCCTCCCTTGAATGTCCCTGGGGTTTTCTCTGTCGTCACTAGAGGGCTTTTCTGGGTCTGCTCTGGATCAGCCCAGTATTCTGAGCATGGGGGCGGTCAGGGCAAGGGAGGCTGTAGCTGGGATGAAGGCCTCTGATGGAGGGAATCTGGCAGGTCTGGCTGTTCTGCCCTCCAATGGCTGGAGATTAGCTGCTGGTTCTCCAGAAATGCCCATGACCAGGAGCCCTCCCCAGCTGTCTGAGTCCTGCTCCTCACCCTGCACTGGGTGCTGGCTGTCTCCTAGCTACCTGTGATGAAGGTGGTGTCCGTAACCACCCTGTGGGTCAGCTCCTCTGCACCTGCACAGGGGTCCCTCCTCAGCCCGCAGAACAGTTTGGGGCAACTCTTGTCCTGGGAGAGGGATCCCAGCCCCTCCTCGGCATCTGTGCCGAGGTGCTACCCAGCTGTCCTCATTGGAAAGGTCTCTGTTCCTCAGTTGCCTCTTTCCCCACATGACTACCCTGGCTGTCACGCTCGACCCCTGGAGAGAAGTACTGTGGGTTACCGCATCTCAGCTTCCCTGCTCCCTTCCAGGGTCTGATGAAAGTAGAGACTCCTCTCCTTGGAGAAATTCACACATGAATTTAGACTCAGCCTTGGAATTAAGCAGCCAGGAGTTCCCTCCTGGTGGTGCCGAGCCAGGTGGGGTAGGGGAGCAGATTTCTGCCCAGGGGTCCAAACTCTGCCTCTCCCACTGGCCAGCACGTCCTGCTGGGCCTGCGTTTTCAGGAGCTGTCTTGGGACCACACATCCCCCGAGGAGGAGGAGTCTGTCCTGTGGCTGGAGTTTGATGGGAACAATGAGGGCACCCCAGTCAACAAGCTCCTCAAGATCTACTCCAAGCAGGTAATGGGGTGTTGCCTGCACTGGGGCTGTGGGGCTGGGCGGAGGTGGGTGGAGGCTCAAGGGGTCCCAGCCTATTGGAGGCTCCAGGCTGGCTGATAAGGAGGTCTGAGGGCCTGGGGACCTGGGAGCTGACTTCTGCTGACCTGGAGCCACCCTGGCAAGACGTTGGGCCAGGTCTGGAGTGTTCACACATGTCAGGTGGCTGCTGGTTTAGGGCTTCCCAGTCGTGTGCAGCCACCCACACCAGTTCCCTCTGCCCTTGAGGCTCCCTGTGAGTTGGCTGCTCTCTGGTGAGGAGCAGGTTCAGAAGGGTTAAGGCCCCTCTGCACCTGTGCCAGCTTCGTTTAGTGTTCAGTTCATTCAACACCAGGTCTTCCCACCCTGTCCCCCACCCTCCCTTCTCCCCCTCATCATGGAGATGCTGCCCTCCCTTCTGCAGGGCCAGTCAGGATGGTGTTCCTCGCTGTCCTCTCAGTGCCTTTATAGTGGACAGCGCCCCAGGGCTCCTGTTCAATAGCATATCCCTCACCCCTCTGCCACTGCATGGGGTCCTGGACCCTGCAAAGCCACACTGCTGTCCACTCTGTGTGTCTCCCTTCGGGTCCCTCAGCCCTTCACAGCCAGCCTGCTCCCTGCCCTCCCCCTGTACCCTGCCCTCCCCCATCCCCTGCCCTCCCCCTGTACCCTGCCCTCCCCCTGCACCCTGCCCTCCCCCTGCTCCCTGCCCTCCCCCTGCTCCCTGCCTGTCCCCTGCCCCCTGCCTGCCCCCTGCCCTCCCCCTGCTCCCTGCCCCTGCCCTCCCCCTGCTCCCTCCTCCTGCCCTCCCCCTGCTCCCTGTTCTCTCCCTGCCCTCCCCCTGCTCCCTGCCCTCCCCCTGCCCCCTCCTCTTGCCCTCCCCCTGCTCCCTGTTCTCTCCCTGCCCTCCCCCTGCTCCCTGCCCTCCCCCTGCTCCCTGTTCTCTCCCTGCCCTCCCCCTCCCTCCCCCCTGCCCTCCCCCTGCACCCTGCCCTCCCCCTGCCCCTCCCCCCTGCCCTCCCCCTGCTCCCTGCCCTCCCCCTGCTGTAAGCCCAGCAGTTTCTGCTTTGCACAGGTGTCTGTCTGCCTTCTTTCTTAGCCTGACTATGTGCTCCTGACTGGCCTCTCCTGTCCCCTGCTGTGCCTCCTCTGACCTCTGACCTCTCTCCTGTCTTCCTTGCTGGTCCTCCTATCCTGGGCCTCTCTAAGGACTTCTCTCCCTGCTCATGTCCCAGAGCTCTTCCCTCTCAAGGCTTTGAATACTCCGCTGTCCCTGTCTTTATGCTGATGTTTCATCATTTTTATTTTACACTACTAGTTTAGACTTTTTTAAGTGTTGTATTGAATTATAACATACATACAGAAAAGTACCCAAATCCTAAGTATATAACTCAATATATTTTCCCAAAACAAACCCGTGTGCCACCTTTCAGATTAGGAAATAGAACTGGGACCCCAAGAGACCCCTCAAGCACTTTCAAGTCCCTTCTCCCACCAAAGGACCCCCCCATTCTGACGTATCATGCTAGAGTCGTTCTGTTTGTTTTCGAAACTTCTAGCAGTGGCTTCCCCCACTGTGTTCCTGTCTGGTTTCTTCCGCTCAGCATTGAGTCTCTGAGCTCATCCTTGCTGCGTGGAGCAGTGGTTTGATCTTTCACAATGCTCACTGGGAATTAGATACTCCCTGGAATTCCAGCGTCCAAATTTGCCAGCCTTGACTTCCGTTCTGTAGCGATGGAGACGAAGGTTGCGTCCGGGGCTGTAGTGGGCAGTGCTGCTTATCTCGGCTCACACCCAGGAGTGCAGGCTGTGTCGGGCACATGCTCAGCTTTAGTGGGCGCTGCCAGTCTTCCAAAGCAGTTGTACCAGTTTGCACTCCGCGGGGTAGATGAGTGCTTGTTTATTTCCTCTCCAACACCTAGTACTATCATACTATCAGTCTGTTTTTTTAGAGAGAGAGAGAGAGGAAGGGGGAGAGAGAAATATTGGTATGAGAGCAAAATATGGATTGGCTGCCTCCTGCACATGCCCCAACTGGGGATCAAACCCACAACCGGCGTTTGTGCCCTGACCAGGAATCGAACTGATGACCTTTCGGTGCACAGGACGACCAACTGAGCCACACTGGCCAGGGCTGTCAGTCTTTTTCATTTTAGCCAGTCTGGTGGGTGAGTAGTAACATCTCCTTATGACTTTTTCTTTTGTTTTTTCTTTTGTTTTTCATTGAGGTATGTATAATTTACAATAAAATGCATCCATTTTAAGTTTTGACAACCACAGTCAAGCTATGGAGTAACTTATTGGCTATTAATATATCTTCTAGAGGTGAAATGTCTGTTCACATTTTTTTTGCCTTTATTGATTTTAGAGAGAGATAAAAACATTGAAGAGAGAGAACATCAACTGGCCGCCTCCTGCATGCCCCCCCACTGGGGATTGGGCCCACAACCTGGGCACGTGTCCTGACTGTGAGTCAAACTGGCGACCTCTTGGTGCCTGGGTGGATGCCCAACCACTGAGCCATACTGTCCGGGCCACATCTGTTTTTTTTTTAATCCTCCCCCAAAGATATTTTTCTATTTATCTTCTATTTTTCTATTTAAAGATTAATATTCTTTTCTTTTTTCTTTGATTTTAGAGAGAGAGAGAGACATCAATGTGAGAGAGCTACATCGATTGGTTGCCTTCCTCATGTCCCCCTGCTGGGGCCAGGGATCAAACCTGCAACCCACATACATGCCTGTGACCAGGAATTGAACCTGTGACCCTGAGTTCTGCAGGCTGGTGCTCTAATCACTAAGCCAAACCAGCCAGAATACCTTTTATATCTTTATTCACCATCTGGATGGCCTCTTTGTGGACGTCTTTCACCAATTTTCTTTTGGATTGCCTTTTAAAAATTGTTTTTACATTCCTCTTCTGACTTCAGACTCATTCTTCGCCTGCTGTTTGACACCGCCCCTTAGCTATCCCTAGAGTTTTGCTTTTCCAAAATGTCATATAACTACATTATCATACAATGCCTACACATTTACCCAAGAGAAACGAACACCTATGTCCACAGAAAGACTTGTACCATAATGTTCATAGCAGCTTTGATTGTAGTAACTAAGGAATTAGAAACAACACAAATGTCCATCAACTGATGAATTGCTTTTTTTTAATCCTCACCCTAGGACATTTTTGTATTTATCTTCAGATAGAGCAGGAGGGAAAAAGGGAGGAAGAAAGAGAGAAACATCGAGTGGCTGCCACCCACATGACGACAACCAGGGCCGGGGACAAACTGCAATTGAGGTACATGTCCTTAGCGGAAACCGAACCCGGGACTCTGGTCCGCAGGCCAATGCCCTAACTGCTTAGCCAAACCGGCCAGAGCGAATTGATTTTTTAAAATTGTGGTCCAGCCCTACAGTCTGTACACTGTGCAGCCTTTTGAGAATGGCTTCTTGCACTAAGCTTCATGCTAGTGAGATTCGTCCATATTGCATGGTGTGTCGGGTCATTCCTTTTTATTGTTGAATAGAATTGTCGTGTGGATATACTACAGGTTAGCTCTTTGCCCGCTGAAGGATGTTTGGGTTGTTTCTAGTTTGGGGATTTTGTGAATGAAGCTGTAAACACTTGTGCACAGGCTTTTGTGGGGGCCTCTGCCTTCATTTCTCTGGTATAAACATGGGTGGGTGGTTGCTGGATTGTATGATAGACATATGATTGGCTTTACTAGACGCTGTCAGACTGTTTCCCTAAGTGACTGGGCTATTTTGCGTTTCCACCAGCAGTGTCTGAGTTTCAGTCGCTCTGGGTCCTTGCTCAGCACTTGGTACTGTCAGTGTCATTTGTTTGCCACTGTAATTACTGAATAATAGTGACATGTCATTGTGGCTTTAATTTGCATTTTCCTAATAACTAATAATGTTGATTACCTTTTTGTGTACTCATTCACTGCCCATATGTCTCTTTTGATGGAGTGTCTATTCAAATTATTTGTCATTTGTTTATTGAATTATTTGTTTTCTTAATGAGTTATGAGCTTGTTACATAGTCTACGTACCAGTTCTTATCAGGTGTGGGTTTTGCAAGTGTGTTCTTTCTGTGTCTTGACTTTTCGTTTTCTTTTTTTCTTTATTGATTTTAGAGAGAAAGGAAGGGAGAGGGAAACAATCGATGAGAGAGAATGTCGACTGGCTGCCTCCTGCATGCCCCCCACTGGGGATTTGGCCCACAACCTGGGCATGTGCCCTGACCAGGTTTTGAACTGGTGATCTCTTGGTGCATGTGTCGATGCTCAACCACTGAGCCACACCGGCCGGACGACTTTTCGTTTTCTTAACAATGTCTTTTGAGAGATTTTTTTTTTTTTATCCTTACCGAGGACATTTTTCCATTTTTTGATCAGATAGAGCAGGAGGGAGAGAGAGGAAGAGAGAGAGAAACATCGATGTGAAGGGACACATCGAATGGCTGCCACCCGCACAACCAACCAGGGCCGGGGACAAACTGCAACCGAGGTACGTGCCCTTAGCGGGAACCGAACCCGGGTCTCTCTGTACCGCAGGCCGATGCTCCAACCGCTGAGCCAAACCGGCCAGGGCTCGAGAGATGTTTTTAAGTCATCCAGTCCACTTGTTTGTATTATTTCCATTTATTGGTCTTTGATTCTTTCACTAACATTTCATAGTTTTCAGCATATAAATCTTGTACATCTTTTATTAGATTTATCCCTAAGTATTTCATTTTGGTGCTATGCAGCCTTTTGAAACTACATAGTAGATGGTATGTTTTTAACTTCAATTTCCAGTTCTTCATTGTGGTATATAGAAATACAGTTGATTTTGTTATCCACATGTCCTTATATCATAAAAGCTTGTTAGATTCACTCACTAGTTCTAGTAGCTTTTTGTAGATTTTGGGAGATTTTCTCTTTTGACAATTATGTCGTCTGTGAATAGGGACAAGTGTATCTGACTTTCCAATCTGCGTGCCTCTTTCTCTTTTTAAAAAAAAAATTAATTTTTTTTATTGGTATTAGAGAGACAAAAGGGAGGGAGAGGGAGAGAGAGATAAAAACATTGATGAGAGAGAACATCGATTGGTCACCTCCTGCATGTCTTGCACTGGGGATCAGGCCCACAACCTGGGCATGTGCCCTGACCAGGAATCAAATTGGTGACCTCTTAGTGCATGGGTCGACACTCAACCACTGAGCCACACTGGTCAGGCTGCATGCCTCTCTCTTTTTGTTTTTTATCCTCACCCGAGGACATTTTTGCATGTATATTCAGATAGAGTGGGAGGAAGAGAGGGAGAAACATTAGTGTAAGAGAGACACATTGACTGGTTGCCACCCACATGACCCCAACCGGGTCTGAGGACAAACTGCAACGAAGGTACGTGGCCTTAGTGGGAACCGAACCTGGGACACTCTGGTCCGCGGGCCAAAGCTCTAACCGCTGAGCCAGACCAGCCAGGGCTGCATGCCTCTTTCTTGTCTTGCCTGGTGCAGTCACTCGGGCCTCCAGGACAGTGTTCAGTTGGTGCAAGCAGACATCCTTGACTTCCTCCTGATCTTAGGAGAAAAGTGTTCAGTTTTGCGCTCAATGTGTGTGATGTTAGCTGCAGGCTTTTCATAGACACCTTCATCGGGTTGAGGAAGTGCTCTTCTGTTTCTGGATTGCTGAGTCTATGTTGAAAGGGTGTTAACTTGTGTTGAACGCAGCTCAGTTTTGATGGCAATGTCCCTGCACCTCAGGGGCATGGTGCTGTGTTAGAGGAACTTAGGGGGCGTTCCTTTCCTGCTTGCAGCTCAGGGCCCTCTGTCCTACCTGCCCAGCAGCCCACTGCCCATTCTCCCTTGGAGACAGGGAGGCAGGTATGGAGAAGGACACTGACTCTTCCTTCTGGACCATGCAGGGTTTGGGCCCGGGGTAGGTTGTGTTGCTTGAGAGGCCTCGGGTAGGCAGGGGCCGGACTAGGTCTTTCACCATGGGGCCACCCCCTTGCCCTTGGACCTCGCTCCCCGCAGTGGGTTCTCTTCTTGGGAGCACAAGGCAGGCATTCTACCTGCCTCAGTCCCTGCTGTATCTCACCGCCTCCAGCTGCCCAGGGTAGGCACCCAATAAACATGTTGCCTGACTTAGGGACACCATCCACTGACAGCTCTCTGTGGATCTGTCGGTCCCTTGATATCCATGTCTTGTGGTGCCCAGACTGTGGTCACTGACATCTGGTCACTTCTCCTTTATATCAACATGTGTTGTGTTTCAAGTTTGTTGAGAAGGCTTCACTTTGAAGAATGTGCTCAGAGGGAGCCGTCCACCCACTCCCACGATCTCACTGCTGCCTTCCTCTCCTCGCGGGTCTGCAGGCTTCTCTCTCAGCCAACTCAGGCAGTTCTTCAGCCCAGAAAGGCCTGCCTGGCACCCTTCCCCCTTCCTTCCTCATCCTCATCCTCTCCATAGCAGCGAGCTTCTTTCTTTTGCCGCCTGGCCTGAGCGCCTCGGCACTGCCTCCCGACCTGTGCCTTCTAACTAGAACCCTGGCTTTCCCACCCCTTCCAGGCCTGGGACCCCCGCTCACCACCAGAGCTGACCTCTAACACCAACGCGAGTGGAATGCCTGCCTTGCCCCCTCGCACACAGAGCACCTGCCCCCAACTTCCTTTCTCGTGAATTTCTTTCCTCATGTGCCTCCCCCACCAGAGAGAGGTCAGGGGACATCTGTCTGTTTCCTCTTGTTCTGACGGGGATGGAAAGGCTGCACCTGGGCCCTGGCTCACCCTCCAGGCTTCGCTCTGGCCTCTCTCCCCTCCCCAGGCTGAACTGATGAGCAGCCTCATCGAGTACTGCATCGAGCTGAATCAGGCCTCGGAGCCAGCCGCCCCCCCAGAGAGCGCCTCCAGCTCCTCGCCACCTCCCACTCAGCGCCCCCAGCTACGGAGACAGGGCAGCGTGGTGTGCAGCCGGATCCAGCATCTCTCCACCATCGACTATGTGGAAGAGGGTGAGTGACCTCTTCATGGTATATGCATCCACGTGCGTGCACATGCGTGCACATGTGCCTGCCAGGGGAGCTCTGGAGGACAAGGAGGGCTGACTTAGCCTCCAGCTGGAGGGACCTAGCGGAGAGGAAGGCTGGGTGTGAGTGTCACATCTGAGCTCTGTGACCGGGAACTGGAGTCCTCTGGGGCCCTGGCTGTAAGAGTCCTTTTCTGTCCCTTCTCACTGCTGCGTCCATAGATGTGTTCATGCAGGACTGTCCAGATGTAAAAGACTAGAAACTCCCAGTGTTTGCAGTGTGGTGTCTCGGATCGGGTCCTGGAGCAGACAGGACATTTGTGGAAGGACCAGTAAAATCCACATTGTGTTTAGGGTATCGAATTTTTACCAACTGCTGACTCACAGGATGGGGTCCCATCGTTTCTGCACCCACGCCTGTCATGGCAGACACTGGGAGTTCCCAGTCTTTCACAGCTGGACGATAATGGGTGTAATCGTCCAGAGAGACAACATGTGTGGGTTGCTGTTTGAATAGTAGTGAAGTTGGACTATGTTTATGTGCTTGATCATATATATTTTCTTTTCATTTTTTTTTCTCCTGTATTGATTTTACAGAGAGAGGAAGTGAGAGGGAGAGAAAGATAGAAACATTATTGAGAGAGAACATCGATTGGCTGCCTCCTGCATGCCCTGCACTGGGGATCAGGCCCACAACCTGGGCATGTTGCCCTGACTGGGAATCGAACCAGCAACCTCTTGGTGCATGGGTAGACGCTCAGCCAGTGAGCCACATTGGCTGGACTTGATCATATATTATTTTCTTCATGAATTACTGTTCACTTGGGTTGCCTGTTTTTTTACTTTTTTATTTATTTATTTTTATCCTCACCCAAGGACATTTTTCCATTTTTTGCTCAGATAGAGTGGGAGGGGAAGAGAGAGAGAGAAACATCGACGTGAAAGGGACACATCGAGTGGTTGCCACCCGCACGACCCAACCAGGGCCGGGGACAAACTGCAACCGAGGTACGTGCCCTTAGCGGGAACCGAACCCAGGTCTCTACGGACCGCAGGCCGACGCTCTAACCGCTGAGCCAAACCGGCCAGGGCTGTTTTTTTGTTTTTTTTTGCTTTATTTTAAAAATTAGTATCTTACATTAATATGGCATATTTGTTATAATTAATGAATCAATATTAACACAGCATTATTAACTAAAGTTCTTAGTTTTAACCTGATATCCTTTTTTAGTTCATGATACCATCCCAGACACCACACTGCATTTAGTTGTCATGTCTCTTTAGGCTCCTCTTGGTTGTGACAGTTTCTGACTTTCCTTTTGATGATCTTGGCAGTTGTGAGTTGGGCTGGTCAGGGACATGGTAGAATTCCCCTTTACTGGACTGTCTCTACTGTCTGATGATTTTCTCAGGATTGAACTGGGCTTTTGGGGAGGAAGATCACAGAGTTAGAGTGCCATTTTTTTTTTTTTTATCCTCACCCGAGAACATTTTTTTGTTGTTGCTCAGATAGAGTGGAAGGAAGAGAGAGAGAAAGAGAGAAACATCGACATGAAAGGGACACATCGAGTGGGTGCCACCCGCACGACCCAATCAGGGCCAGGGACAAACTGCAACTGAGGTACATGCCCTTAGTGGGAACCGAACCTGGGTCTCTCTGAACCACAGGCCAACACTCTAACCACTGAGCCAAACTGGCCAGGGCTAGAGTGACATTTTTATCACAGAGTATGAAAGGTGCATTAGCGACATGATATGTGACTGTTGATGTTGACTTTGATCACCTGGCTTGAAATTTTGAACCTGTAAGAGATGTCATCTTATTGGGGCTCACCTTTAACCAGTTGGGTATGTTGCAGGAACTTTGTTTCTTTGGTCTGTTCTTGAACAGGGCTCCTCAGGTACCACAGCTGGCCCAGCATCAGACACAAACCCTGTGTGCTTCTGATTGGGGCCTGGTCACGTGCCCCACCCACCCATCCTGTCACTGGTGGAAGAGTTGAGGTGGGGAGAATGAGGCCAGGAAGTTGGCAGTTGTGAAACGGGGAGCTTAGCCCAAATCGGGCTTTGTGGGGCCTGGGCCCCCTCTCCGGGAACCCCTTCCTCAGTGTGTTCCTTGCCCCCTGACAGGTGAGCAGATCAAGCCTGTGAAACCGAAGCGCACCACGTCCTTCTTCAGCCGGCAGCTCTCCCTGGGCCAGGGGAGCTACTCCATAGTGCAGCCCACTGAGAGCCTGGAGCAGAGCTGAGATGGCAGAGCCGGGCAGGAGGAAGGCACTGGGAAGGGCAGGGCCAGGCTGTGGCCCTCCAGCTGGGGAGGAAGGCAACCTCCAAGTGTGGGCAGCGACTTCTGTGCCTGGGGCAGTGCCTAGGCTGTGCTGAGCAGGCTCAGGGATCCCATAGGGTCCCTCCACAGCCTGCCTGCCCTTCCCCTGGACTCTGGGCCCCTCTGCCATCTTAGGACCTTCCAGTCAGGCCCCTGTCTCCCCCTTTCACCCAGGGACTCACCTGTGTGCCCCTCTCAAGGTGGACAGTGTCGCCTGCTCTGAAGCCCCCACTGGCAGCTCCTGTGGCAGGAGGCCAAGGAATAGAGCTCAGGACCTGCAGGTCAAGTGTGTGTCTTTGGTCTAGTCCCTGGACTTGGGTGACCACATCCCTGCATTCCTTCACCAGCATTCCACGCATGCTGCCAGGCAGGGCAGTCACTGTAGGGGTGGGCCAGGCCTCCCAGAGTTGAACCTTGGCAGGAACAGGAGAGGCCCCGCCCCCACTCAAACCCTCTCTGGCTGGTTGGAACTGGATGGAGCTGGGCAGGGCCCAGCTCAGAGGGCACTCTGTGCCTCTTACTCAGGACTCTTGCTGGCAGGAGATACTCTGACCAGAAGGAACGTGCCTTTTTGCTAGCTTTTGGTGACGTCACTGTGCTGGAGGTGGCTGTCCTAGGACCAGCAGGCCCACCAGACCCACACTCCACACTCAGAGAACCTCCCAAACCCCCGTGGGCTTCGGATTTTAGTTTTGGTCTTTTCTCATCTGCTTTGGTTCCATGAAGCCTATGAACTCGGGCAATTCAGGAGAACCCCACAACCTCAGAGCTGCTGGCTCCCCCTCAGGTGGCTCTGTGCTTTCCATCTGGCCTGACCCTGGGGGCCGGCCCATGCTGGGAAGTCGCACCCCAGCAGCTGGTCTCTTTCTCAGGGACAGAAAGTGAACGTGGCGCTGGGCGTGGCCAGCCCAGGAGGTGGGGCCCTGGTTCTGGGCGCTTCCCGGGACTTTCCGCAGTACGGAGACCAGTACAGAGGCCAGTACGGAGGCGTCTGGTCTGGCTCAGCACAGGCTTCCTTTGTCTCCCCATCCTGGTGGGAACTGTGGGCAAGGAGATGCGAGCCTCTTGTGTCCAGGTGCCAGGGCCCCCCTTCTCCCTTTGGTGACTTGCACACTCCCGATGTTTTGAGGTGGGCTTGCCTTCTGACAGCAGGGACTTTGTTATTTGTCATAATAAATAGGCGTCCTAGCCTTTTGGAATGTCCCGGCCAGAGGACATCTTGTCTCCTCCTGGAGTCACTCGACCTCACTGGCTCCCAGCTGTCTGGCTCCCAGCTCTCTGGTCCTCTCTCCCACTCACTGTTTTGTTGCCAAGTGAATTCTTATCTGATGGGCCCCAGGGGCCTGTGGGGTGTGGTGGGTATGTATGTACACAAATTACTTGTTTCTACCCTTGTCTTTCTCTTGTTTTCTAAGCATCCATTGTGCCTTAACCTTTTTTGCCTGCCTTTTGGGACAAAGCAACATTTTACTAAATGTCCTTTGAATATTCTGATTCTTTTGTACCATGTGACCTATTAGTAATAAAATCCGTTTCCAGCAGCTGTGGGGTGGTTCGTGTATGTGTGAAATAGCGAGTGTTCATTCCAGCCTGGGAGCTCTGGCAGCTGCGCGCTGGCTTTTTATTAACTGCGCACCAGGGCTGCAGCCCCCGGGGCTCCCGAGCTGAACTCCGTGGAGCAGCCAGAGGGCAGTTCCCCATCTGGGTGGTTGGTCAGGGTAAGAAGGTCCAAGAGGGGTTTGGGGTTGATGGTGGGAACCAAGGGGGGAGCTGTGCAGGGAAGCAGGGAAACAAGGAGTGACGGGGCTGGCTGGGCCTTTATCCCTGTCCTGTGAACCTAAGCCAAGTGTCACCAGGTTCCTCCGCACACTTGGGGGTGGGGTTCAGGACAGTGTCTCGGGAGAGACCAGGAGGTTTGGGCAGTTCTCAAGCCCTCCCCGAGGGCTCCTCATGCCCTGGGCCAGGATCCTGTTGGGCAGGGACAGCATCAGGCCAGCCCTCTGGAGCACTGTGGGCCCACAGGGAGCTGCGTGGCAGCAGTAACCACAGGCTTTGTTCCCACGAAGGTTAGGGAATCCTGTGTCCAGAAAGCTGGGAGGGAGAATGGGATTCACCTGAGGGGCCAGGGCCTGCAGATGGCACAGGCACCCCCACTCTGGTGGGTAGGGGAGCACCAACAGCCTGGGGCCAGGCAGGCCGGGAGCCCTTCCTCCACCCAGGCCCCTCTGCCCTCACCAACCATGTAGGTTTCCTGAGGCTGCAGTAACAAGACCACAGCCTTAGTGGCTTAAACACAGGCACCTCCTAGTTCCAGAGGTCAGAAGTCTGAAATGAGCCTCATTGGGCTGAGATCAAGGTGTAGGCAGGGCTGCATTCCATGCTCTAGGGGAGAATCTGTTTACTTGTCCAGCTTCCCTTGGCTGCTGGCCCCTTCCTCCATCTTCAAGCCAGTGAAGGTGAGGGGGCCTCCAGCATGCACGCTGACTTTCCCTCCTCGTGTCTCTCTGACTCCCCTCCGCCTTCCATTTCCATGTTTAATGACCCTTGTGACCATTGCACTGGGCCAAGGCGGATAATCCAGATCATCTCCCTGTAGTCAGCTGATCAGCTACTTTACTTCCCCTGTGCCAGGTAACCAAATATGCACAGGCTCTGGGGATTAGGACACAGGCGTCTTGAGGGGCTTAATTCTACCTACCATACCACCTCCCACTGTGGCCCTCCCTGCTTCGTGCTCTAGGCTGGCAACATCTGCCCATCTCTGACCAGGCCTCCTCACACGCCCTGCGCTGGTGGCCAGGTGAGCAGGAGTGGCTGCTTGTCTGTGAAGGCTCAGGCTGGCGGGGGACCCCTCCCGGCACCAGGGGGGATCTGCTGCTCCAGGCGTACCCTTTCTGTGGCTCACTCTGCCCCGGCCTCGTCCCCAGAACCACAGCCCAGTCTCCACCACTGCCCAGTTGCTCTTCTGGGCATAAATTCAGAAAGTGTCTTCCCAACCACACATGCACACCATTTCGGTCGTCAGCGGGTTCTCCCCAGAAAGGCCTTTGTGCTCTCTGCCCACCCAGCACCACAGGAAAGGAGAGGAGAGGACACTGGCCACCCAGACCACCTCACTATATGTCCTCTCCATCCTAGGCTCAGTTCAGCCTTCACTGCTCTATACTGGCCACAGCCCTGCGCTCCAGGCACAGCCTGGGAGAGACCGGCTCACCCCTAGACACCACCCACTGTGGCCTGTAGAGGGAGCCAGCAGGTGGAGGGTTGAGAGGCTGGGTGCTGGCGGAGGCCTCTCAGGTCCTTGATCCCAATTCCAGGCATCTTGAGATGGCCAGAAGGGGAGGGAGCCCAACTGGGAACCAGGTCCTTTTGGGGAGCCCCGCTCTTCCTGTCAGGTGGCCGCCGAAAGGTTCCCTGGGAGTCTCTTCCTGGTCTCTGAAGCACTCCGCCTGCTCTCCTCCCGCTAGGTATGCGCCTGCACTGTGGGCACCCCGAGGTTGGGCCTGGTTTATAAATCCCCACAAGCCCAAATGCAGGCTCCAAGCAGGTGTTCAGCAACATGAACTCTAGGACACATGAACTCTAGGACACCTGTCCCCAACCCTCTGCACACTCAGAGACTGAGTCACCTGGAATGAAAGAAGGCCAAGCTTCAAGGCCCTTCCCTTTGCAGGAGCCCTTCCAAAGCCCTGGAAGGGTTTAGCAGTGTGTTCAATGGTTTTGTAGAATTTGCAAAAGTAGGATTTAAAAATTATTTTTCTTAGAGGACTCCTAAAATTATTTAAGTCCTGGATTAGTCCCTGCCCACAATATACTGGCTCCACTTGTTTCTAGAACACACCCTGCAATCTTTCACCTCTGGGCCTCTTCACCCCCTCCCCACCTTGGCTGCCCAACGTACCACCAACCAGTATTCCCTTCACCTGTGAAACCCACTGGCTGTCAGCTGTCCTCTGGGAACAGGCTGGTCTCTCTGGGAACAGACCTCTGCTGGAAGGCCAAGACCTTATTGTTTAACACACACACACACACACACACACACACACACACCCCAGCTGTGTAGCCTTAGGCAAGTTCTATAACCTGTCTGGGCTTCCATCTCCTGCTTCTCAGGGAGGAGCGATGCCTGCCATCTCTTCACACTCCCAAAGGCAGAGCAGTGCTTTGCACACATCTGAATGATGACAGCTGTCTGCGGATGGGGTTGGCGGCTGGCAGACGCTCCTGATTGTGGAATCAACAGTCAGCTCTCTGAGCCTCAATTTCTTCCTCTGTGAAGTGGGGACAAGTACCCCTGCGTTACGATGTTGTAGCTGACACTGAGTGACAGTTATGAAAGCATCTGTGGCCCACAATGGCTGCATCTGTCCGTGGTTACATCAGGTCCATTCATTCACTCATCCTATGTGTTCCAGAGGTCACTTTTATGCCCCCTTTCTTCCCACCTGCATTAGTTTCCTAGGGCTGCCTTAACAAAGTACTACAAATGGGCACGGGGGTGCTTAAAACAACAGGAATATATTGTCCCACGGTTTTGGAGGCCAGAAGTCCGCAGTCAAGGTGTAGGCAGTGCCAAGCTCTCTGAAGCTGCGGGAGGGTCACTCCTGCCTCTGCCAGCTTAGCTTCTGGTGTTTTTTGTTTATTTGTTTGTTAATCCTCACTTTTTTTTCTTTATTGATTTTAGAAAGAGGAAGGGAGAGGGAGAGAGTAATAGAAACGTCGATGAGAGAGAACATCGATTGGCCGCCTCCTGCATGCCCCCCACTGGGGATTTGGGCCACAACCTGGGCATGTGCCCTGAACGGGAATCTAACCGGCGACCTCTTGGTGCATGGGTCAATGCTCAACCACTGAGCCACACTGGCTGGGCAATCCTCACTTTTTTTTCCTCCATTGATTTTTATAGACAGTGGTAGGGAGGAGGATACATCTATGTGAGAGCAGCTGCCCCAACCCGGGGCCAGGGATCGAACCTGCAACCCAGGTACCTGCCTTTGACTGGGAATTGAACCCATGACCCTTTGGTGCGCAGGCCGATACTCTGTCTTCTGAGCCACACCAGCCAGGGCCCAGCTTCTGGTGTTTTGCTGGTGTTCCTTGGTGTGCAGCTACATAAACCCAGTCTCTGCCTTCATCATCACATGGCTCCTCCCTGTGTGTGTGTCTGTCCTTACATGGCCAACATCTCATGAGGACCCCAGTCATACTGGATGAGAGGCCCACCCTACTTCACTTTTTTCTGACTATACCGGCAATGATCCTAGTTCTAGCTAAGGTCACATTCTAAGGCACTGAGGGTTAGGGCTTCAATAGTTCTTTACTAGGGGTACATAATCCAACCCATAATACCACCCTAATGGTTTACTGTCTTGGTTTTCTGTGGGGCTTTTTAAATGCATCAAAGGTTGCCCTGGCCAGGTGGCTAAGTGGTTGGAGCATCATCCCGTGCACCAAAAGTTGCGGGTTTGATTCATGGTCAGGGCACATACCTAGGTTGTGGGTTGATACCCAGTCAGGGTGTGGTGGGAGGCAGCTGATTGATGCTTCTCTCTCACATCCATGTTTCTCTCTTTCTCTTTCTCCTCCCTTCCTCTATCTCTGAAAACAAACAAAAACCATCCTATGGTGAGAAGTTTAAAAAAAGAAATATTTAATAAAGTAAAAAATTAAATGCATCAAAGGTTGTTTTAAAATACCAGCCGCCCTTGGGCTGCATGGAGAAGCAGAAGTGGTTACCCCCAATGGCCTGGCACTCGCCTGGCTAAGCCAGCACCTGCCTCTGGAGACCCCTAGAGCAGAGGAGGCCCTGCTGAGACTGCCCACAGGGGTCAGTGCAGTGGGACAGGGTCTTCATGGCTCCCAGACACGCCCTAATTCTTCAGGTAACAGAGGTCATTGACCAATAAACACGCCATCCCATTGTCGTCCGAGGCTGGGCATTTCTGGGTCACTCTCCACCACTTACAGCATCTGGGAGTCACCTGGCACTTTCTCCCTGTCCAGATCAGCCCCCCATTTCAGAGAAGGTAGGCAGATTACCCGACCTCATCCAGAACAGGTGGCAGGGCAGCTCCCAGTCACGACTTCAGTTTTAAGCAGCATGTCTGGTACCCACGGTCAGCTGTTTCTACCCTGACCCAGCCTAAGATGGGATTTGTGGGGGAGTCAGCCACCGCCCCTGCCTGCAGGTTGCTGCTCCCGCTTCGGCCGGCAGGGGGCAGCTGAGCCCGCCCTTTCCTCCTCCAGTTCTGTGGCAGAGGCTGCAAGATGGCACCGCCCACCCCATCTACGCAGCTGGAAAAACCCAGGGCAGAATCTGGGGGCCATGGGTCGGGCGGGACATGCCCTCATCGCCTGACTGCCACCACCTTCGCTTGTCTGTGATGGAGAAGTCCTGGGCCTCCAAGAGTACCAGATACAGGGGTTCCCCTAGGTTCCTCACTGGGTGACGGGACCCACACTATCCAAAGATCAGGATCCATGTTCTGAGAACATAGTCTGCTTTGGAATTTTTTTTTTTTCCCTGTAAAATGACAACTGAATCAAAATATTAAAACTGGGGTTATTTGGGGGAATCCAGGATGTGGGTGGGCACACCCTGAGACTACTCATCTCTCTCCTGCTTCACCCTGTGCCCACAGTAGCTGACTGTCCCAGGGCCCTCCCCCTCCCCAGCTGTCCAGGCCCCTCTTTCAGCACCTCCCTCCCCCACCCATACTGAGCCCTCCAGATTTTTTAAACTACTTGTCATGAGTAAAATTTGCAAGAGGGAGAGTAAAAATAGCCCCAGCTCTTCCCTAGGACTTCTGTGTCTGCTGCCCGTTTGACCTTGGCATTTGGTGGAGGGGTTGGTGGTGACTGTTGACATTCTGGGCCAGTGACAGCACAGGCCTCCCTCCTGGTGTCAAGGTCAGCAACCTCCAGGGGCTGGTGGAACCTTTCAGAGTGTCTGCTCTCCTCGTAGAAGCCCTGGTGCCATGCACGCCTTAGGGATGCCACTCAGGTGGGCCAGGGGGATCAGAGCAGAAAAGGCTCCTTCCGAGGTTCAGGACAGTCTGAGCGACCAGTGCCCCAGGGGGTGGGGGAGTCACTGTGGGGGGCCCCAGGGGGTGGGGGAGTCACTGTGGGGGGCCGACAAGGCTCAGGCCTGAGGACTGCCATAAGCAGGGACTCAGCAGAAGGGGGAGTTTCTGGCAGTGGGAGCTGCTGGCAGGCCCCGGAGAAGAAAGGGTTACTTGGGGACTGTTGAACCTAGGGGTGCGAACCTAGGGGTGGAAGATGGTGAGGTGTCAGCACCCGTGCAGCACCCTGCCCAGAGGAGCTGCCGCCAAGATTCCTGCTGAGTAAGGCTTGGAGAGAGGCTGACAACGTGGGCACAGGCCTAAAGGTGGGGTCCATGAAAGCTGGAACTTGCTTAGTCAGCAACAAGGGGGCCTAAGAGGTCTGGGGGCTACTGGATGAGCATAGCAGTGGTTGAGGGAGGCAAGGTTAGGGGACCAGGTCCCTCATTCCATAGGCCTTTTCTCTCCTGGAGGCTGGGGAGCAAGGACACGGGTACTTAGCTGATGAGGCACAGGTGGGTCTGGTGAGCACTTAGGAGCAGGGGCTTCAGGACATAGGGAGGTGACCATGAGTCAGTGAAGTAGTTGGCAGAGGGCAGAGCTGGCTCCAGGCAGGGGGCCAGCTTGGGCAGGGCTCAAGGAAGTTGAAGAAGGGGGGTCAGTAGGGCTGGGGCACTGAAGGCCTCGTGCCCATGAGTTAGGGGGCACATGGGGGCAAGGAGTCCTGAAGATCTGGATGCAGGGGACTGACACCATCAAATTTATTTCCTGGAGGCCTGGCCCTAGGTGGGGAGAGGACCCCAACTGGATCTGCCTCAGCAGTGGCCAGGAAAGGGCACCAGGGACCCAGAGCCCACAGACCCTGCAACCCCCAGAGGAGACATGGGTCAAATGTGTGAGAAGCCTCTCCTCACGATGCCCTCCCAGCTTCCCCTACCTCTTTGTGGCCCACGTGGGGCAAGAGAATGGAAGCATGAAATGCAGGTGGGTCAGCCCACCTCCTCCTCTGCCTAATAAAGCAGGGTCTGGGGAGTGTCCGTCCCCCATGTCCTTTCCCTCAAATGCCTTCTGCCAGCTTTGGTTCCCTTCCCCACCCCCAGACATTCCCTGTGAGTTCTCCGGCCTGTCCACATGGAGCAGCCCTGCCCTGTCTCCCTGTCTGCTGACCTGGGAGCCCAGGGCTGCACCGGCCCCCAGGTCAGGGCTCATCATGGTTTGGGGGGATTGAGGCTTCAGTCAGCCCACAAGTATTACAGATGGTTACTGGGAGCCTCACAGTGGACAGAGTGACCTTTATAAAACATAAGATTGTTTGGTTAACACATTTACCAAGGTCCACTTTGTGCCAGGAATGCACCAGGGACTGCCGGGCACAGAGATCCAGTGGAGGACAGACAGATGGAAACCCTTCCTGAAGGAGCGCAAGTCCTGGGGGGACGGGGGGTGGGGGTGACCTCTGGGCAGAGGCCTGGGAGCTGAGGGAGGGAGGGCTGGGCCGGGGTGAAGGGCTTCCAGGCAGAACATACGAGTCAGAATTAGGAAGCAGGAATGAGGACGGGAAGCAGGGCTGAGGGGTTAAGGGTGTGTTCAGGCTGCTGTGAGGTGGGGGCCCACTGACTGGAGCCCCAGCGGAGGCCCAGCTCCCAGCCAGGCAGGAGAGGCCGGCGGGGGCGGGGAGGTCCGGGCGGGTCCTGTTCTGCAGGAGGGGCTGAGGCAAGCAGGCAGGAAGGCTCCCTGCCAGCCGCCAGCGCACCGTGACTGTGCAGTTTCCTCACTCAGGCCCTGAGACCAGGGAGGGGCCGAGGCTCACAGGGCCTCTCAGTCCAGAGGACAAAGCCCCAGCTGAGGGTCTCCTGTGAGCAGAGCCCAAGGTGACCTAGGCCACAGCTCTGGAACTGGACTCATGGGGGTGGGGTGGAGTTCTGGTACATTGAGTGGCAGCAGCAATGCTGTCCTTGTCCTGCCCTTGGTGTGAAGTACCACCCTTTCCCACCCCGCTTCTCTCCCTTTTCCAGGGGCTCCTGTAGGAAATCTAGGTCCTTTCCTGGGCTGATGTGTGTTTGGAAACAACAGAGCTGAGCTGACTTCGGAACAAGATGGGGAGGTGGCCATGGCCGTGAGAAAGGACCTGGAGCCTGGGCCCTGTCCCTGCAATTTGGATGTTGCCCAAGGGGCTCTTTCCTGCTCTTCTTTCCCCTCCAACCCTGAGTCCCTAAGTGGCTGCCAGGAAGGAGCAGCCTTTGCTCGACCCAGGTAGGGCGGGCCTGTCCCCTCCCAACCCCACCCAGGAACCCAAGTCCTGTTTACTGCTGTTTCCTGGAACAGCTTGTTTTGATCTCTAGAGAAACCTGCTGACACACTGAGCCCTGCTCCCCTCCTCCTCCCACAGTGAGGGTGGAGGGACTTTGGGCCTTGTTTGTAGAGAAGGAGGATGTTTGTCCACCATACTGTGAGTGTGCTGTGTCCCCACCCCCCAGGCAGGACAGATGTCCCTGTGTGGTTTTCTTTCCTCATTTCGTCTACTCAGATACATTCCTTTCCCAAAGCAAACTAGCTGTGTGCAATTCGGGGGCCAGGAGTGCTTCTCAACAAGGACCCAATGAAACTGCCAGTTTGTCCTTGGCACCGGGTGGCTGGGGCAGCTGCGGACACGGGCACACAGGAGGGCCTGGCTCCTTTATGATGGAGAGTCCTAAGCTTTGTGGACTCCTACACTTTGTGTGTTGCTAATTCCACCTACTTCTACCCTTTTGAAAAATAAAACCTAAGACAGTTTGTTTTGGGGACTCGGGGGTGAAATGTGGGAGATTCTTAGACCAGAGGTGGAGAACAGCAAGCTGAGAGAGACATCAGTGACTACCGCCTCTCAGACGCCTTGTAAGATAAAGGGCTGACTGTAAGGTAGCCAGGTGCCGCCGGTGGGAGGTGGAGGGCGGCACGAGGCAGGGGGGGGGGGGACTCTCGCCTCAGCCTGCAGGGACTGAGGCGGGTCGCAAAACCCCTCTCCGGGGTTTCGGCACCAGATGTAAGGTAGCCAGGTGCCACCGGTGGGAGGTGGGAAGAAACTGAAGAGCCAAACAGCCGAATAAGCAGAAATCGGGCTTTATTGGGTACACTCCGGGCGAGTTCACAGACTCCAGGGGTCGAGTCCGAGAAGCCGCGCCCGATGCTGGGGTTTGTGATTTTTATATCTGCGCCTGTGGCAGCGGGAACTTGTTAGGGTTAGGTCCTGAGGGGCTACGCATGGGGGCCCCTGGAATGTGAGTCTATTGTCCCAGAGCAAACAGTTCCTGGACTAGGACAGGAGAATGGGACAGGAGTTGATCTATGAGTTCGGGGCAAACAGTTCCTGAAACAGGGTGGGAGTCTGGGTTGGATCAGTGAGGTAATGGCTGAACAATTTGCCTGGCGCCAGTTCCCAGGCTATCGGACACTGACTCCACAACCTGGGGCTGTGACACAGCAGCAAAGGCACTTGCTTGGGATTATACATACTTCCCAGCTTTCTAGAACATTCTGACAGGCAATTCCTTCCTTTACACAATTCTTTCAAGTTAAGTCTCCCCAACCCACTCATGAACACGTTGCTAGGACAAGACCTTGGAGAAGGGTGAGCTGCCAGACTTTCCCTAGCAGAACATGGCTGAGGTCTGCAGGGAGAACAGGCCCGGGCTTGCTGCAGGCTCAGCCTTCTGTGCGGAGGGTCACATGAGCGCTATCAGCTTTCCGAGAAACCCACGGGTGCGGCAGCTGGGCCCAGCCCTGCCTGCAGATGCCATCTTGCAGAGGCAAGGGGGAAAAATGTGCCCCAGTTTCCTCCTTGTTGCCAAGGGGCCTGTTGTCAGAGGTGGTTTTGTTTGGGGTGTGGGTGTTTACCCTGGGAGGAGACTTCCTGGCAGTTGGCCCAGAAGCCATTTCTGTTCTGGTTACTCTGACTACTGTCCTTTTTCCACCCTATACTTCAGGGGACCAGAACTGCCATATAGGGGTCCCAGGCTGTGGTTCCTTCTCCTCGCTCTGGCCCCACATTGGCACAGGAGATGCTAACTCCCCTTTTTCAAAATCCTCACCCAGCCCTCAGAATCTGCCTGGCCGCAGGGCATGGGCCGAGTTCACCCTTTGGCTTGTGTCTCTGGTGGGGGGCCAGGTGGGGGGCCTGCTCCATGTGGGCGCCTGTGGGCAGTGCCCCCACGAGGCATCAAACGGGTTCCCTGAGGTCCATCGCAGGCTGTAAACTGCCCTGGACAAACCAGTTTTTCATAAAAAATTTTCTTGTCTCCCACCTCCCAATCCAGAAATAAAATGAGTTGAATATACCCCTTGGGTCTTGTTGTCACGCAATTAGATACTGTTTTGTGCACAAACAATATCTTACCTTTTATTACTTTGCAACTGGCTTTTTCCACTTCATACATAATGAACAATCAGAAGTACCCAGGCAGGGATAGCTTCTCATGAAATACTGCACATCCAGGCCCCTGGAAACAGAACATAACAAAACCATGACGCACGCCCCTCACGCCACTGTGGCAGCCTCCTGCTGAACTTTTTCATCTACTTGCTCCCAAACATTTTTTTATTAAATTTAGCGCAACCATTTCAGTTTTTTTTTTTCTTTCCTTTATTGATTTTACAGAGAGGAAGGGAGAGGGAGGGAGCGATGAAAACATGATGAGAGAGAACATCGACTGTCCCCTCCTGCATGCCCCCCACTGGGGACCCGGCCCACAACCTGAGCATGTGCCCTGACCAGGAATCAAACCAGCGACCTCTCCGTACCTGAGTTGACGCTCAAACCACTGAGCAACACTGCCAGGCTAGTCCAATAATTTTTTAAAATAACAAAATCAAACTTTTTTTTTTAATCACATTAGGATTTCTTAACCGGGGACACCTGTAAGCACAGCTGTGCGTGCACTTCTCAAGGGCTGCCTGGCTCCCCACCCCCACCCCCGCTTCCCTCCGGCGAGACCCGCCCGGCCGCAGCGCCTCGGCGCCCCTCCCCCACCCGCCCGCGCGCGCGCCTGGGCGCTGACGTCACCGGCAATCACGAGGCCGGGCCGCCGCCCGCCGAGTCACGCGCTGCCGCCTCCCTTCGCGATGCGCCCTCTGCAGAGATCCCTCCGCCGCCTCCTGGAATTTTCCAGACGCTTTGCCGGCCCTTCTTTCATACTTCTTCGGGGCGGGGTGACCCGAGGTGACCTCGGCAGTTTCTGTCGCCCCTCGGGAGGGCGGCTCCACCCCACCAGCTCTTCTCCCCGGGAATGGTGGGACCCACCCGCCCAGAGGAAAGGGGACTCCCTCCCCCGTAGCGTCCGGCCCTCGCCAGTGACCTTGACACTTGTTGACGTCGCGAAGCAGTGCTGGCGGGTGGACGCCCCAGGAGGCCAGCGCCGCCCAGTCTCCCTGGGCAGGGCCCGCGGACTTTTTTTCCGGTGGCAGTGGAGGAATCGCCCTTTGAGCAATGCCCCGCGTGACGCGACCGGGGCTATAAAAGCCAAAAAGTTGTGGCCCGTCCAGCAGGAGTTAGCGGCAGGGAGGGGCGCGCGCTGGCCTAGCTGTGCGGGCGGAAGGGGCCAGTTAGGGCCGCAGGGGAGTGAGGGCCATGGCAGGGGTCCCCGAGGCTGGGGCGAGGGGCTGCCGGGAAGGCAGGCCGAGGACAGGACTCGGTCCTGGGGAGACTCCTGGGGCAGCTGCGTTGAAAGTGCCCGCAGTAACCGAGGGGGCGGGCGGCGACGCCCCGTCCAGGTGGCCTCTGCCTGATGAAGGAAGGTGTCCCCGGCGGGTGCAGCTCCTCGTGGGCTGAGAGCGCCCCCCGAGCGGGGGAGTGTGGCAGGAGGAAGGCAGACAGGGGCGGGTGGAGCAACTGAGGCTCTGGCCCGACCTGCGAGAGACCAGGTGGAACCGGGCAGGCGATGCCCGGGAAGTGATCAGGAAGGAAGGCAGTGGGGTGCAGGGGGCCGGGAGGGCAGACTCTGAACTTGTCCATACCAGCAGCCCCCTTCTTTTCCAGACAGAGGGTGTGAACTCGCCTGGGGATGAGGCCTGGTCTTGTGGAAAGTGAACTTAGCTTCGCGGGGCACCGGCCCTGGCCCAGGGTGGTATGTAATTTGGCTCGGCCTGGGAGAAGGGCCCAGGCCAAGCCCAGTCTGGTGGAACCCAGGCCTGGGAGTGAGGCCAGACCCCCTCGTCGGCGGTGAGGGTGGTCTAAGGAGTGATTCAGGAGGTAAAGTGACATCCTGAGCGGTTACTAGTGTGGCGCCTGATGCGCCCTGACAGGCGGGCGCTGAGGCAGGATGTTTGTGTGTCTGTGGACGAAACTGACCCACGCTTTATTTTCCAGGTGGCAGTGCTCCCCTTGGACTTTCCCTCTAGGTTCGGTGCTAACCTCTCCTGTGAGCTCACTCTGCCCCCCTCCTCCCTTTAATTCTCGAGGTTATCCATTCACTTAAAACATTGCTTCTGGTAATCTGGTAAGCGGGGAAGGTCGCCGAAGTCCCTCGTGGAGTCGGTATTGTTGGTAATCTTGAAGGAGGAAAGGCTCTCCCAGCCGAGACTCGGGGTGGGGTGGGGTGGTGTGGTGTTGCTTGCTGGTGGAGAGGGTGGGGATTGAATGTGCACCCTTGGGTGGGCCTGCAGCGATGGTGCCCGCTGAGAGTTACAAAAGTGCCTCATGGACCGTGGTTTGTTACTATAGTGTTCATCATGGCGACCAGATGGCACCAGGAGACATGGAGCCCCTGGCCAGTGTGAGTCGTAGCAGTGCAGGAGGGGAGACCCTGAAGGAGAGAGTCGCCTAAATTGATGCCTGCAGATTGAATTTCCAGAGTCTTAGGAGGAGGAAGTTCTCCAATGTCATATTCCCAGGCCTTGCTCAGGAAGTCCTGTATTCAGGAGGCCGTCAATTAAGGTTTTCAGATGAGCTTCTGAGGGGGCATCTTAAAGTCCAAATCAGATGCGTCCAGGTCGCCAGCAGATGTGTTTATTTGAATTTTGATCATGGAGCAACAACCTCCGGGCACGTGAATGCCAGCAGGCACCCACTCCTTTTTCGGGTGGAGGTTTTCAGATGCTGCATCTTCTGTGTCGAGCCTCCTGTCATGCTAGTTCTCTGCTATGAACCTTGCTTCCAGAAGATTCTTAAGCTGTAGAACATTTTAAAGCTGATGCTGCAACGCAGAGGGATGCCTTGTAGATGAAGCTTGCAGATGGAGCCCAGTGACCCTCTCACCTACCCACCTACCCACCTGCCTGTCCGTGCATTGGTCCGGAGGAATTCTTAGTGTGATGATGTAACTGCGGGGAAATGATCAAGTTTGAAGTGCCTTAGGCAAATGCTTGGATGAAGCAAATTAGGGTGGGGGGTGATTGTATTGTGTTGCAGTCTGGGAGGATACAAACTGATCACGCTCAAATTCTGTTAGCAATGGCCGATCTAGTTTAGGCATTCCGGTTGCATTGCAGATTACTGAGAAGGGAATGGTTGGATACTGATGGTGATCTTTGATTCATTTTACTCCGTTTTTTAACTTGAATTTTACTTGATGAGACCTCAAAATAATCTTGGCATTCAAATGGGTGGATCCTAAAATGAGGGTTGTAGGAGGGAGAGGACACAGCTTGACACTGGTATTGGGAGGGGTGGGGGTGAAGGGAAGAGGGGTAATTAGTTATATGGCAGGGGGTGGGGGTGTAGGGACTGGGCCAAAGGGAATTTGGGTTGGGGGACAAAAAGGGAGGGCAGGCTTGGTACTAGGAGGGCTGGGGTGAAAAAAGGGAGAGGGGTGGTTGTATTGCTGAGGGTGTGGGAGGGGTAGGGAATGTGGGTTGAAGGGAATTCTCCAAAAAAATCAGTGGGTAGAGCTATGGAGAATTTAATAGAGCTCGTGGGCAAAGAAAATACTACTTAATATTAGTAAATTGTTCATGCTAGTTGAATTGTTTGGAAGCACAAAAGTTCCTTGGAAACTTTCTAAAGCACTTAGAACTCTCAGTGCAGGGTGGGGGGAAGCAAAATTGTTTTGCTTTGCTGCAAGGTGGGGAAGACTGAAAAGGTGTAATTGAAAACCTGGGTGTCAGTCTCTTGAAAGATGTGTGTCAAAACCTTGCATCAGCAGGGTACTAACATCCACCGCTTTGCAAGCATCTTAAGTGGTTTATCTGAAACTATGAAGATGAGCCTTGGAAAAGACTTTAAATGCTCAAATTGTGGGCTTTTAAAGTATTTAAGTTTGAGATTTTGGTGGACACTTAAAATGAGATTAGATGAACTCTTTTGAGTTACTTTTCTGGGTTTGTAACTCAATTTTGTTCCCTGAGATTTTGTGATTCACAATTCAGAGCAAAGTGAAAAACAGATTTCTAAAGGAATTGTGTATGTTACATCGCGCCTTATAGACAAATTGTTTGTCTTTGTGGTCAGTATTAATAACAAAAGTTTTTGCTCACTGTTATCTATTCATAGTCATTGTAACAAAGAGAACCAAATAACCGATTGTAGTCACTGTAAAATTACTGTAATAGTTGGTAGCAAACAATGTACCAAGGTTAGAGTTCATAATCCATCGTATCTTTAGTTTGAAAGTTTGTACTTTTTACATGATCCAGTGCTAGAGGGGAAACTCAGCCAAAATCAGTTTGGGGAGTAAGGAAAAAATGGGGTGGGGTGGGTTTGCCAAATGTGGTCTTACTGTAAAAGTTAAGGGAAGGATCTGAAAACCCTTTATATCACTTGTTTGAGATTCGTCTATTGAATTGGTAAAAGTATACCAATGGCTGTTATCATGTTCCTCTTCTCCTTAAATTTCACTTTAGAAATTTTAAATCCCCTGTACTTGTGTCATGTGGGTTTTTTTTTTTTTTTTAAATGTGTTTTAAAATATGTTGGCATGATAGTTCCATTCTTAACCAGAGACTTGGGCATGGCACAATTACTGTCCTTGGAATTTAATGAGTATTAGTTATGCATGTATGGGGAAATAGGTTGGGGGAGAACTAATACTGTTGCTTCATGTATGTGACTAATCACTTTTCTTTCCCATTACAGCACAAATAAAGGTTTGAGTTCCAAACTCATTAGAATCGTTGTATTGCTATATTTTTTTTACTTTTGTCTTTTCTGTAAATCAAGTTGCCTTCATAATTAATTTGGATGTATCTTTGTATTATAGATTTAGGCCTAAGTTCACTTTTCAGTAGTGCCAAATAATTGCGGGAATTCAGTAGAGTGTGGTAACCTCAAATAGAACTGGTGTGGGGAGGAGGCTCAGCTCACTTGGGCATGTGTAATGGAATGGTTTTGGAAAATGTGGTGCTAACCACTCAGTGAAGGTCAATGTCAAGGTGTTGGGGGGAGTACTTTGTAATATCTTGGAATTTTACCTGCTAGATTTTTAAATGGTATGGTCAAAAAGGACCTTTTTTCTTCCCATATGCTTAGGGGAAACAGTCAGTAAAATGAACATGTGTATGTGTTTTCCATATTTGGGTCTTTGGGAGACTGGAATGAATCTGGGATTTTGATCTAAGCACATAATTCTCGTCTTACTAAAGAGTTTGGCTTTGGCTTACATTTTTTTCTTTTGGTGAATGACAGAGTTCGGGCTTAGTTGTATGAGTGTTGTACTAAACAGGCTGAATATACAAAGGGTGTGAATAGAAGCTGATTCTGTGTCCTGGGTGGGGCAGTGGCAGCAGCATTTCATCCTGGGAGCTAATTCCTTGCATTGCTGTGCTGTGCCCAGAACAGGTGGGGGACTTCCAGGGAGCAGCAGTGGGACTGGCTGCTGTCCTCGCTCAGTGTGTCTGGTTTGCCTGCTGCTTCTGCCCTTGTGACCCCTCATGTCTGCTATTGAGAAATGAGTTAAGCCACTGTGCCCACCTATCCAGGACTGATGGCTGTGTCAAGAGTTGGCCCCACTGTGGGCAGGTTCAGGGAT